CCCGTAGGTATACCAGTACCGGTACACCGTAAGTACCGGTTTATTCTCTACTAAATATCGCCCATGTATAATATCGTCTCCCATGCTATTAATGTGCCAAGTTCGAATTCGGTTTCTTGCACTTTACTTATATAATATTTTGCTTCCTTTAAACTGGTATGTTAGGAAGCAAAAGAGGCTGTTTAATGTAACTTCAGGAAGGCGCGACTGTGAAAATAGTTGAGAAAACTACGCGCATTAATGCTAAAATGTGATGTTTTTGGCGGAGATATAAACTGCACCCACCCGAAAAACGATCCCGGTGCTCCTTTTTGCTTTTTGACTGTTACTTTGGAGGAATTCACCACTTCGACGCGCCGCGCAAATATCCCGGCCTATGATCTTACTTTGCATCGCGTAGAAGTATTTTTGTTCAGTCGCAAAGCAACGATTAGAAAATAGTAAAAGCTCGTGCGTGCATTTTTTGCTCGTTACGTTAGGTTTCGAAATGAGTTCCCTGGGTAAAATCTCAAAAAACTGATTTTTGTGCAAAAAATAGGCCAAAAACTTGTACAACGTCGTGACCCCCACCGTCGTTTTTCAGCGTATACAACGTATTATTAAGAAACTGTTTACACCATTAAAATATTCAAAACCCCTAAAAGAAATCAAGTCATCCTAAAATGGTGATCAGTACAGATTAAGACAGCTAGAGTTAAAATTGTTTCTCCAAGCAACTCTATCATCGGCTAATATCTTAAGCTTATTAAGATCATTCAAAGAGTTAAGTTTTAAACCTCTACGGGTCAAATCATTCACAATAATCTTGAACAAATTCTTACGATGCGCACCGACGCGCCCTTTACAGTTTGTTGTGACAGCAAACTTTAACGCTAATGCAGCGGGGGAGTCATCAGCACTACGCAAGATATGACCTAGGAGCTTCCACCTTGCTTTAGGGACACGATCTGATAGCTTAACTGAGTTACATCTTAGGTATAAGTTTGCATTGGATATTGTTCCATGAGGCCAATAAATGTTCAGTAATGATCTAAGGTGTTTTCTATGGCAAATGTCTAGTTTTTCTAGTGACTTTGCAGTAGGACACCAACTACTGCAATTGTACATGATGATTGATACAATTTGGGCTTCGTATACTGCTATCTTTCTGGTAACGGAGATATTCTGCTGAGACCAGATCTTGGTGAACTTATAGAAGGCATTGTTCCCAGCAATGCATCGAGCAGCTATATCACTTTCACTACACAACAATGACCCAAGAATCTTACTCTTCCGCCAATCTTCATTTCCACGTAACATGGTATCATCACGACCAGGGATTGTTTCTCCAACAGGAGCGAGGAAAACATGGGTAAATTCTGTTTTCTCTGTGTTAATGAACAGGTTAAACTCCTTGAAGACTTCCTTAGCTATTGGTAGGATAGCTTCTAAGGATTCTTTTTCCACGTTCATGAAGTTACAATCATCTGAATACGCTGACTCCAGTGGCATACCTTCTTTTGAAATAGGGGGATTGGGTATGTGTGGGGGAGACTCTGCTAGTCGATGGCGTAGTTCTATAAGAGCTCCTGCTAGGACAAGAGTGAAAAGCTTGCCGGAGAGACTGTCACCTTGAAAGGACCCAAGAAGACTCTCGAATACAGCAGATAGTTCTCCTTCCACTCTGACCTTGAGCATGGTGTTGGTTAAGAGGAGTCTTACTAGCCTGAGGTCGTCGTCTGTGCATCCAGCTTTGACAAGAAGGTCAAGTATAGTCTGGCGTTTGATTGTGTCAAATGCTCGAGACATATCTATGCCCATCTTGTGATACTGGAAGTGTTTACGCGTGACAACCGATATCAACATCCGCTCAGCCCACACTAGATCACCACAACTTCTACCATGTTTGTACCCTGCCTGCGTGCTACCAGTGAAAGCATCAACTTTGTCTTCAATTCTCTTCGGTACAATCATGGATAATATCTTACGAGCACCATTTGATAGACATAGAGGTCGTAGACTAGTGACAGGACCAGCTGGTTTGCGAGGTTTCGGTAAGGGGATGATGATGGCTTCACCTATAACATCAGGAAATGAATTGGTCTCCAATGCGCTATTGATGATCTCGGCATATTTTGACCAGAATTTTGTACCAGCATTTTTCAACCACTCGTTGTAGACTTTATCTGGACCAGTGGCTTTGTTGTTCTTGAGAGATTGGGCGGCTTTCTTTACTTCATCACATGTGATGGGTATGTCTAGGCAGCGTCCATCCCCTATAAATGCTTGAAGTGGTTCATCCTCACACGTGAACTGCTTTTCGTAGTAGTCTCTGATCACTTGAGCTTTACCAGCATCTATGGCAACAAAGTTACCTTCTTCATTGTGGACACTGATAGTAGAGTTGGGCTTAGTGTCAGCTAGAGTACGCACAGCTTCAAACATCTGCCTTGTGTCATCTGTTGACATGATGGTTCGAGCGATGTCATCGGCACGTGTGTCAGCAAGGTTCTTGAGATGCTTACGGATGTCTTTCTGTAACCTGTTGATCCTTGTACGGACTTGAGTTCTGTCAGCAACTTGGTTGTTACAGTTAAGTGCAGCTTGCAGGGTTTGTCTCTCTTTTACAAGGGCTTCAACAGTTGAGTCACTACTGAAGTTACGGTTTCTGGAGCGTGGTAGTGTCCCGATTACTTCATCAGCAGTTGTCTTAAGGACATCCATCAGGTTAGTGAGATCATCATTAGGGTTTGATGTTACCTGAGAGTTGTTGACTTTCTGTTCGACTGAAAGTTGGTATTTGACTTTGGTGGGAAGGTCAGTGGTGAGCAGGGAGTTGTTATATCTCTTAACTACTGAACTTATCTTTTTTGTAGGAAAGATTTTGTAGTAGGGGGCTAGTTTGATCTTACAAGCAACGAGTCTGTGGTCTGAGTTAGTAGCAAGACCGCCATATGCTCTACAATCTTGGAACATGAATCTGCTGCGTGTTCTGCACAGAATATAATCTAATTGGGCAAAGACTGGACGAGTAAGTTTGCTACCTTTAGGGCGACCTTTGGCAGAAATACACATAGAGAAAGTAGTTCGATGTCTACAAGGATGATCAAAATAGGTATTGGTAGCAAACAGTTTGTTTAAGCACATGAAGTTTAATAAATGTTCACCGTTGAAATTCCTTGTACCCATTCCAAACTTGCCCATATACTTTGTTACACCATACTGATAGTCCAAAGGAGATAAGGTTCCCAACTTACTGTTGAGATCACCACAAACAAACAATTCATGAGATGCAGGAACTGAAATAGCATGGGTGAGTTCTCTGTAGAACTTTCTAAGAAGGGCAGGGTTTCCTTCTGCTTTAGGATTAGTCGGGCCATAACCGTTAACAATTCTGATATTTTTAGGATGGGATGAGAGATTAGAAGGAATGACGACATTAAGATAGGAAACCCGGTCTGAGGTATACTGATAGTCTGTGACATAAGGTAGTAATCTAGGACTTATGATGAAACCTAGTCCACCATGTCGTCCTTGATTTTGCTCCATCATGATCAATTACAATCAATACAACGTATGACAACAAAAAACCATGTTTTTTGAACTTTTGAGCTAGTTAATTTTGTTGGCATATCACCAAAATTTGCTTAATGTTAAAGATAGCTAAAATACAGCCGCGCATGATGGTAAAAATATATTAAATCCAAAATCTCTTGATACATGTTTCGTATCCAAATATCAGAGATATTATGGATACACCATGAAGGCACATCTCTGCGCGGCCTTCGGTGGCGCTTCGCGCGCGAAAAGTGGCATGCAACGTATGTCAACAAATTCCTTTATTTTTTCCCGGTTAAAATGTAAAAATCAAAAAAAAAAGGTCAAAATGTGATTGTGCCCTTTGTTGCTTAAATGTTAAAGTTTGAATCATTTTGTGCAGTTGTATTAAATCAACCCAAAAATAGTCACATCGTATTTGCCTACATTTTTCCTTTCCGAGGAGTACCCACTTCATATACTTTATCGAAGTTTGAATATTGTCACTCTGCAAGCGTTTTCGCCAAATTTTCGACGCACACTATACTACGCGCAAAAGCATTTAGTTGTTATCAATGGGCACCCGCGCGTTCATCATAAATTTTAAACAACCATAATTGATAATTCAGCGAGATTATGTCTGTTCTAGCTCATATTTTCACACCAAATAGAAAACAATGTGATCTTATTGTTGACAAAATATAAATATAATTACTCTATAACTATTGGCCTAAGAGTTATAGACTGTCAAAGTTTAAAACGCGCATTGGTATAGCACGTGACTAATAAGGCCATATTTATATTTGTTATCATATTCTCGATCCTTACACATCATACTATTGACCTATTGTGTCCAATTAATGGTTAGGTCTCCAAACGCACAGAAGAAAACACGTCTTTTTGCCCGTAAGAGCCTCTAGACTACACTGACACATGACAGCAGTTAACAGCAGTTTCTTTGCACTTTAGTCTCCCTGTGCCTAGCGAAATATCGGCGAAAACTGTCTCGATCACGTGATATGACTATATAAGGAAGTTGGTATAATTTCGCGTTAGGGGTTCAGCATATGCTTCAGTTAGGGATTGGGTTAGGATCAGATTGTAGGGTTAGGGTTTCTAATAGTAATAGTTATTTAGAGCCACCTAGACGACGTGTTAAAAAGTGAAAAAGTCGCGCGTGACTGTCGAGTGTAGAGTGATTAAACATCATCCGTTGTTTATATTTAGTTTTTTCTCAGTGTATCTCACTATTTTAACTGTATTTATCAAAATCATGTAGAGGCCGAATCTTGACGTGAACTCCCGTTTAGCAAGGATTCCCGTCCCACATGTGATCTACAGGTCAATCGATGAGAAAATTCCGGTCCTGGTATACTCTTACTCTCTTAATCCCGGTACCGGCACTTTTTCCCAGTACCGGTCTCGTCCAAAAAAGCGGTCCCGGTCAAACCTTGGTCAGGCACAATTAAACAAATAAAACAAACTTATTCAGCTTAATCAAATTGATCTGAGCGTACAAAAGAAATACAATGTTAACATTAGGACAAAGTTAGAACCTTTAAAAACCTCCAAGAAGAGTTTCGGATACATCTAAAGAGCAAACAAACAACTCCCGAAAAATTCATATAATGGTTATGAGAGGACTACAAAACTTCAAAGTGAATACTTACAAGTAACTCCAGTGACTGACTATCTATCTGAATCTGAGACTACACTTAACAACGTAATAAAATTAAAATTAAGGGACATATTATTAGTATAATGTTTGTTACAAAATAGGGTAAAAATTACAGTTTCATGATGTGCATTTCACATTTAAAGTTGATCGTATTTTCACGTTGATTATAATAATAAACCAAATTGTCATAGCACGACATCGTGACAACTTGATCATTAATGCTTCGGTTCTGATAAACAAATTATTTGTGACGTATTGATTAGATCCTTCTTAGTGGCAATCAGCCGGAACTGCTGAACCAATTCTGAACAAATATAGAACCAATATGAAATGTATCATAATACTTTAGAATGTGAAGGAAGTGGGCCTGGGTTCATAACTTCTATAGAAATGACAAACGTGTCAAAACAATTTAGGATCAAAGTTCTCCTCCTCCGCGCATCAGGCGTTACGTTAACATCGTCCAAAACAACATAATAAGTTATCAAATTTACAAATAAGATTCCTCTCCAAATAGCCCAAACGTCGTCATCAATATGACTTGGGAACATTTTTACAACTATGATTAACCTTCAACTTCAAGAACTATTTGGATAAGATATCGTGGTACTAGTTAAATTTCGCTAAAAAACAATGCGAAATAAAAATAAATTATAGCAAAAATAGATTAAAAACTCAATACAATTATGAGTGCTCTATTAAAAAATTACGAATTGCCTGACATTGGCAAGACATAATCAAATCTGGGCAAAAAATCTTGCTTTTTATGTGACAATCACCCAAATCTTTAACTAGTACAACAAACCTGCTAGGTTTCCTAAACTCAAGTTAACGAATAACTACAAGTCCCGTTCTCTGAATACGAACTTCAAACAGACGGATCACAGCCATCAATCTCCTGCTTCACGTTTCCTACTGTTTGATGATGTTTTTGACGGCTTCAGAGAGGGGAGCTATCCTACCCCGGTTAATTCTGAGGGTCTCCGTGGACGGAGTGGCGACTGAGGTATGGTCTATGATACTCAGTTCTGAGTCTGGGTCTGTCGCAGTCTGTTCCTTCAAACAAACTGCAGGAAAAGTTTGGATCATTAACTGATTATAAATATATTAAATACAAAAATAGAATTTGAAGTAAATTTTTCGCTTCATAGGAATTCCAACATTAGTGCACAAGGCCAGGACGTAGTGAAGAATAATTAGTAATAATTAGTAATAATTAGTACTCACGTTGAAGGTACTCCTGCCGCCGTCTCTTAATACGCGCGGCTCTGTTGTTCAGCCTTTTGCACTCCTCGACCTCTCTTTCGCACTCCTCGTTCAGCCTTTCGCGCTCCTCGAACTTTTTACGTTTCCTTTCGTTAGCTTCTTTCATAGCTTTGTCCTATGAACATGACCGAATGTAAGATACTAAGATAACATATTGGGGGGGGGGGGGGGGGCCAACCATATTAAAGTATATTAAAATGTAGGATTTTTCCCGATTTTGACCCGGGGATATACTTTAATATACTTTAATATACCTACAATATACTTTAATATATCCCTATCCTCGGAGGTCTACATCGAAAATTGTTACCCAAAATAAGCTTGAAATGCAATTCTTAATCGATTCCAAAAAGTTCTTGAAAAAATATTGAAAACTGATAGAGTTATTTCAATTTTAATGAAGTCATTTTGGCTAGTATTCCGAACAGAGATATTATGTGCAATTTTCCCAATTTTGTTCATGGAGGTCGTTTTACTTAGTATCCACTATATTCAACAAACACTGAGTTATATCTTTCACATAGAGTTAGTCTCATTAAAAAATATTGAAATTTTATCGAATTTGGGCAAAAGCGTATGCCCAAATATGGGCATATTTTTTAAAGCTCATAGCTCAGCCAATTTTTGACCAATCTGGATGGAAATTCATGTACTAGTCCTAAAACAGGCTTATCTTGCGAATCTGAGTGAAAAATATAGTTCATCATGTAAATCTTAACGAAGAATATAAATCTTCTAATTGTAGGTATATTAAAGTATATTAAAATGTAGGATTTTTTCCGATTTTGACCCGGGGATATACTTTAATATACTTTAATATGGTTGCCCCCCCCCATATTATATATAATCATACATTGATTATCAGTTCAAAAAAACTGGAAAGGATACCTGACGAAAGTTCTGATATAAAGAAAACAAGACTGACAAAAGATAAAACTCACATTCAGATTCTCAAAGTTGCAGAGCTCCGCGATGATGTTCACATAGCTTACTTTGTTCGACGGAATCTCTCCGCTTATTAACCACTCTAACTCCTCCTGAAATATAAAAACAGGTGTTGAAGGCGAAACTTTTTAAGGGCACTTTCTCAGATAGAGGAAGCAATAAAACGACACGCTTTTTAAAACTAAAAAAAAAATGTCGCCCCACTGTTAACAGAATAGCTGTAAAGAACACAAACCTCATTATGAGGGGGAGGAGCAGCCCTGTTACCAGGACTGTGTGTTGTGGAGGTCACGTGATTATCTGAAGTAACAGTGGGAGGTATGAGGGAGGTAGAGCAGGACACAGTGCTCTCCGGGGTGGGTGGGACTGTGCTGGGTGTGGAGCGGGGTTGTTGTGTTGACTCGTCGTCAGAGTCCACTTCTATCACAACCACTTGTTGCTTCTTTTTGGGCCGCTGAATAAGGGATGTTTATCTCAGACTGATTAGGGAGTTGCACGCTTACTTGGTCAGAAGTTATCAACGGATGAGTTCAGGAAATTACTATTTCAATGGAATAAATCGCCTCTCAAAACTAACCTCGTTGGTAACAGCAGGTACCGTTTGGTTTACTGCAGCAGTACTTTGAGATTTAGCAGCCGGGGTCTGAGGTTTAGCAGGTTGGTTCTGAGGTTTAGCAGCCGGGGTCTGAGGTTTAGCAGGTTGGTTCTGATTACCCGCCTTGGCCTCTCCATCGCCTTTCTTCTTATCTTCCTCTGCTTGCTTTTGCTCTTCTGCCTTCTTTCTGTTGTACTCACTAATAGACAGTCACAGTATTAATTTTGTGACAGTACATCTACTCGGTTCAGCAGGTAGACAGATTGAACACGATTATAAAACAGCATACTGGACCAGCTAAAACAACGTACGAACTACGCAGCACATTCCGCAGCAAAAGAAATGTAACATCTCTGATTATAACACCAAATTACATTACAAATTTAACCAATAACATGATATAACAATTATGATATAACTATAAGCAATCTTAACAAATTTAAACATTAATAGTATTAATGTAATACTATAGTGTAACACATTAATGTAACACTCTAGGAAGGTAATATTTTATCACGTACTCCAAAAGTTTTTTCTGTAGCTGGTCAGCCTCTGCTTGAGTCATCCATTCCATTCTTTCTGTCTTGCCGGGTTCCTGTACTGTGAAGGGCTTCCGCTCCATGCTGTAAATACAGGCAATCAGCGGTCAAATACAAGCGATCAGCGGTAAAATACAAGCACTCAGCGGTCAAATGTCCCATCTTACGGGGATGTAACAAGCGAACAATAACTGAGTTGTGTTACAATGATAAAGGTAAGAAACCTACCTAGGATCAACAGCTGCTGATGGTTGCTGGTTGCCTGTGTCAGTAGAAGTATTTGGATGGCGGGTAACAGCAGGGTTGTTAGTAGAAGTTTTGTTATTTGTGATCGGACCAGTTTGACCAGTTTGGTTCGGCGAGGACTTCTGCCTGGGCCTTCCTGGGCCACGTTTAGCAGGTTGTGGTTGTGGTACTGGTTGTAGATGAGGAGGTAACTGAGTCAGCTGTTGGGGAGGTAACTGAGCCTGCTGTTGTTGCCGTGCCAACTGTTGCTGATACTGGGGAGACACCTGCAAAGTACAATAAGTCAAGAGTTGTAGGAAAACGGATAACTTGGTTTCTGTACCTCCCTGGGCATAACTTGCATAACACAGGTAAGATTGTTTGTAAGAGCAATATTACTTTGAGTATGTATGATGAAATGAGGATCCATACTGACGCTCATGTGAGCAGGGCATGAAAAATGCAGAAACTAGAACTAATCAAACAGTACATCATTATCATCACAAGCGCCCCCTTACAGTTACCCATGATTCATTACTCAATTCTCGAACAGCACATGCCACTTTCCCAAACAAATTAGCATCATGCAGTTTCCCGCGCGTGCCGTCGAGTACTGCCATCCATCATGACAGTCAACCGAGAGAAATTATCTTCCCAACAGCTTTACTTAGCAAAGTGTTGCATACCTGGCTCGCTGCCAGTTTTCCATATAAGGAATAATTGCCTGATATATTTCTACACGTAGCATTATCAGGGTGGCCCGGCCCCGGTTGACTGTCAGAAATATTGTGCATCATGCCCGTATCAGTGTCTACTCAGTACTCATTGACATTAGTTTTAGGTAAATTAACCCATTAGGGACGACGAGTTTAAAAGTTTGCCGATTTTGATGCCGTTTAAAACGATAGATCACTTTACAGCAAAAATGAGATTTCCAAAAAAGCTAATCTGTATCTCGTTTACTTTAAAAGATAAAGCGATGGACAAAAATGGGGTCGTTAATGAAAAAAAAGTGGGTCCTTATGACCCAAATTCTTTATTTAAAAAAAGTTGGAGTCGCACAGTATTGACCATATATGCTTTTAACATATTATGCTACAGTTTTTATTTTATCCTAGCGTCTTTGTTTCAGAAGTAATAGCTGAAAAACCGTGATGGGTCGTTTGCGACCCGGACGAGTGGTCAGTGGGTCGTTTGCGACCGCAATTAGCAAACAGCGTCTAGCTCTGTTTGTGAACATCTGATTATCACAGGCTTTCCACTAGCCTCTAAGTCTATAGAAATCGTTGCCCACAACTATTTTGTTCTCAAACAAATAAGCCTACATAAAGTTTTATTATCCCAATCAAGGCAAGAAGTTAGGTGAAATATAATCCAATTATGACGACTAATTAGCCTAATTATTTAATTGTTAGTGATTAATAGGGTCTCGACTGGAAAGTCAATATTGTAGCCCAATAAATTTTGAGAATATGTGCTAAAGATTCGTGGCGTTTAGTTATTTGGTTTGTCCTCTATAGCCTCTAGAAAAGGAGGGTCGTAAACGACCCTATCGTCCCTAATGTGTTAACGTGAGAACGAATTATAGGATCTAGTAAGATTGGTCAGCTTAAAAGGAAATTAATTGATAATTAAACTGTATAATAGAGTATGTATATTGTATATGTGTACACAGTACATGAGATGTAAGAGTCGTCTTTCATAGCGGATTTTTTGGAGAGAGGCTGGACCTGGGTGGCCCACAAAAGTATGAAGATGCTTTGCCTACCACTGGGGTGTGGTAACCCTCCAAGGAGATGATCCCGGGGAAATCTATGGGAAAAAGACTGGTCAACTGACATGAAGAGGAATTATAAAATGCCCAGAAGCTGAGATGAAGAAGGTTTTAGGTCAGTCCAGTCTGATCCAGTGATTCGGGCACAATAAGACAACATTAGTTATATTATGTTGATTGTCGAATATGACAGGAATAATAACCCTCGAAATATTGGCCTCTTAGTTCAGCAATGGGTGGGCACTGTTCTAGAACATGTGGGCACTATTCTAGAAAATGTGGGCACTATTCTAGAAGATGTGGGCACTGTTCTAGAAGATGTGGGCACTGTTCTAGAAAATGTGGGCACTGTTCTAGAACATGTGGGCACTGTTCTAGAATATGTGGGCACTGTTCTAGAAGATGTGGGCACTGTTCTAGAATATGTTGGCACTGTTCTAGAAGATCTGGGCACTATTCTAGAAAATGTGGGCACTGTTCTAGAAAATGCGAGACGGTATCTTCTTTATGGTTACACATACTGTTATTACTGAGTGTAGTGTTAAGATGTTTTATGGTGGTGGCATGTTTTCTACCAAGCTAGTGTCATCTCGTTATATCCATATTATGTGAACCAATCTATTTGGTTCAGTCTGGTAACTCAGGCGTTCGATATAAGATTGTGTTAATGGACACTTAAAAGTGGACTCCTGGCCAAGCTTATGAAATATGAATGGCTGTGTGGGCTTTAATGATCCCTTTTCCTGAGATGGAAGTATCTAAAGACCAGCTACCCTCAGTCTGGCTGCTTCCTTAGCTGCTGCTTCACCGTTGAAGAAAAGTATGATTTCGGAGTGTCAGTGAGGTGGTTCAGCGCAACGAAGGAAGTGCTTGGCATGGTACCAGACATAATTTTAAGTGTCAGTGCCTGGACACGTCTGAACTTCTTTGCATGGTATTCCTTTTGGGTCGCTCTAGTCAAAATACTGCAGCAGTAGGATAGCTATAGGATTGGTCTAATAACAGCGGTGTACATCCATTTGCAGGTTTTGGAGCTGGGGGACACGCCTTAGTATGTCGGTTAGTCTACATATACAGAGCTACCGTCACTGAAGGAATCAGTTCAACCCACCTGGTCTTTGGGTATGGGTACGATTATGTAGAAACTCATAATCTTTGGATTAAAAAACAGTCCTTATATCATTCATGTTTATCAAACAGGAAGAACGGTCAGCAAAAAAGAGTTGGCAACAAAGATGAATGAGCATATAAAATGGCTGATCATAACAGAGCGAAAGCAAATTATATAATACCTGTAATTATTCATACCGATAATATTCCACAATCATACACCAATAGTTGTAGTTAATTAGTTTACAAAGGATCAAGGGCCACAATAAATGAATTTAAAGAATTCCCCAGCGAAATGTTTGATTTCAGCGCACGTACACTTACAATTGGATTACTATCGGCCTGGTAAACAGGCACCAAGACCAGCTCAACATCATCAGACAAGCGGGGTTCACGAGATTGGGTTGCAACCAAAGTCGTCCCCCCGGACAATTGGGGGGTTTCCTCCGGGCTGGCACTTTGCGCGGCATGTTCTGCCGGCTTGTCAGGCTGGGTGTACCAATCTTCCAATAACTGGTATTTTAGTTTTTACCAACACGGGGAAAGGGGGAACTACGGTCTAGTTCTACAGAAGCTGCATATCCGGCTTGTCAGGCTGGGTGTACCAATCTTCCAATAACTGGTATTTTAGTTTTTACCAACACGGGGAAAGGGGGAACTACGGTCTAGTTCTACAGAAGCTGCATATCAAGGGGTAATGGTACGCGTCTAGACAATGACTATGATCAGTAACTAGTTTAGCTATCTTAATTTAATGACTACACAAACATAGCTTGCAACGATCTTATACTTATAGCATCAGCACGTACAAACATTGGAAACATATTTAAAGCTTTGTTGTAACCGAAAACAGTCAAATATCAATATTTTAATTTCCATTTAATTAAAAGTTTTCAACTAACCGTAGGAGTGCTCATGATAATGACACCGTTAGGATTGTTGGGAGCTGCGACAGAGTTATGTTGTTGTGTGTTGTAGGAGACAGTAACGTTGTTGTGGGCGAGCAGCTGCTGAAATGGGGTCACGTGATAAAGACACATTTTGGAAATTCTTTGAAATGGGGTCACGTGATAAAGACACATTTATATCAACACAATTTCTTAGAAATGTTATTGCATTAAAATAAGTTCAGACGGTTTTAGTCCGTATAGATATGATTTTTTTATGAATATCACAAAATTAATCATTTGGTCACTAATTTCGATTGTTTCGATTGTGATTTCAACATCTGTTGAATTGCAATAGCAGTAGGTCCCAAGACTTTGTTGACCACAATGTACTTACAACAATAATATAATAAATATAATGATAACTAGCTACTCACTGTATTATGAACGGGTTGATGGTGAGTGGCATTATATTGCGGAGTATCCTTGATAAGCTGCTGGATCTGCTGGATCCTCTGCTGGTTCATCATTAGGTTGCTACGAGGCGGCATGCTCGCTTGAGGCACTATTTGAGGTACAGATTGAGGTGCGGAGTTAGGAAGCACAGAGTTAAGGGGGGGTATTGGGGTGTTAGGAGGGAGCTGCTGCCAGTTTACGGCAGACATCTGTTGTTGCTGCTGTTGTTGCTGTTGTTGTTGTTGCTGTTGCTGTTGTTGTTGTTGTTGTTGCTGTTGTTGCTGCTGCACCTTTTGAGCTTGAACGTGGTGGAGCCATACCCTGGTTAACTCATGCTCGTAGCGCGTTAGTTCGTGTTTATACGCAGTGATCTGTTGGGCGACCGCCTGTCTCCGCGGGTGATTAGGTTGCAAGTTTGCCAGATCTTTCTGCATCTTGTCGTAGTGTTCCATCAGACTTTGGATGCGTTGCCTCTGGACTGGTGCTATCATCGCTATTCTGTCGCTCGAGAGACCACGGAATTCGTGCCCAGACAACGTTGATTGCGCTTGCGCCATTGATTGCACGTGCGTTTGCGCTGATGATTGTACATGCGCTTGCGCTGTTGATTGCACGTGTGCCAATACCGCTTGAGAATAGGCAGGTGTTTGAGAGACACCTTGTTGAGGGTGTGATAGTTGAGGGTTATAGTTAGTAATTAGTTGGGGAGGTTGAGTGGCAGGCTGGGTCGTGTAAGCAGAAGCAGATGACGTAGTCACATACATATTGGGACTGCTCTGAGACAGGACCACCTCGCTGGTCTGAAGACGGGCAGGGTGGGAGAGTTGGCGGGAAACTTGCATGTTGTGTTGGGAGGAGGACACGGGAGTGATGCTGCAGCGTGTAGTTGAAGGGGGTGCTGGAGTAACTTGACGAGAACGGGAGGGGCCGGTAGTGGTGGCTCCAGTTGGCGCTCCTCCGCTGCTTCCGCGCTGAAAATACCACTGTTATATTATAATCATTGATAATTGAAAATAGCCAGTATTATCAACACAACATTTAGACTAGTAAAATCGATATGTTTATACCCTGTCCTGGAGCAATGAATAACAACTCACATCTCTATACAGAGATCGACACAGGACGACTGATCCTTATTTCCTGTATGCTAAATACACAAATAAATGTAGAAGTTGCAGGGTAGGAAATTATCTAGTCAAAATGGCCTTACTGTCGAACCCTAACACTGCACAAAATGGCAAAAAATGGCGCTCAACCGGACGTTAGCTGGAGAATGCAGTTAATTAAAAACGATACATTATAATTTTTGGCTGTAAGCCAGTTTAAATTCAGTTAAAATTAATAGTAAAAATGTAGGGCAAGGATTTGAAATATGGCTCTGAAATTACAGCATCAATAGGCGGTAACGCAGAGAACCAACTACAGGAATTGTTCCTCGGATATAGGAAAGCGAAATAAATATCAAATGATACCAATACAAGTGCAACAGCACGAGGAATGTGCAATGTGCAAGAAGGCTTTAAAGCTAAATAAACAAAGCTGGAAAATCGATTGAATTGAATTTATTTACATCTTATTTGCACTGGAACGAACAATATTAATACGAATCTAATATAAAGCTAGTAGTTTCTTGTGAACAATTACTGATCAATACGTTCTACACTCTTCTACATATTTGATGGAGTTACCCGTGTTCCGTGATGCCTAATTAGATATTTCATATTTAGTTCAGCCCGTTAATTAACAATGGATAAGAATAGATAAGAATTGTTTAAGAATTCCTCCATTTCAAATACATTTCAAAGAATGTCTGTACAAACAACATAATAAAACTATGAGTCGCGATATAAAGCCTTGTTAGTCCTACATGGTACTATGCAGCTGTATTATAAGTGTATATTATAATAATATAATAATATGCAGTAGATTAATAATATGCAGTAGATTATGTTTTACACTATCACTCCGGATGTCGGGATGTAGTCAGTTCACTAGACAATACGCACTGGCCAGGCTTCATGATGCTCCTATATCTAAGACATCCTAGCCACCAAAGCGAGAAAAATACAGATTTTAATATTTGCGGAGAGGTAACCTAAAACAGCAAGAATATAGGCAAATGTGCACCTTGAAACATTGATTTATCTATTTAATGACATATCTCGTCATTTGTATACCTTTTTCATAAGAATGTTCGAGAACATAAGACAGAGAAAAGAAAACAATGCGAGTACCAGGTGATGACTGAAAACATTGTACCACGACTAAAACAACAGCTCTGTTACACAAAAACAACGCAGCTGTACTGCTCGTTAGTATTGACAAACAACAAACGATGATGAGAGTTATGGCTATATCTAGTGTAAGTGTACGGAAGAGAAACTTGACACCAATTCATTGCATAGCGCACACATGACGTGATATATGTAACCTTCAAAACTACCGTGAAATAGAAAACGTTTTCTTATCACCTTGCTTCCATTTGCAGTGACTTGATTGACAACTTCTTAAATATTATTTAATAGAGATGGAGTCATCAAACAAATAAACAAATTTACAAGACGAAAGGAATGAAAAGAAACTGAACACTGTAAAATTACATATTATGATAAGATCGCTGATTGGATCAATTATTGGAAAAGTTCTTTAAATAACCTATCAGCTCATCTTGTAAGTGACTCTCATTAAAAAGGTTATATTCCACTGCAATCAGTATACCTAATCAAGAGTTGAGACAGTGCCAGACAGCGGTTAGATTAGTATCGAGGGTAAATCGCTACTTGGAAAGAGCGGTTTTGAAATGGCTAATCGTTGAGTCTTCGAATAGCAAAGTTAGAGCATGGACTTTTAAAAGAAACCGAAGTGTATTCAAGCAAGGGATCCCAAACCTAATTATAACGAAGCACAATGTGTTCCTTATTTTATAGTGTTATCTGATCCAGTACTCAAATATAAAAGATAATATTTTGAATAATTTATATATTATACATGGTATAACAACAAATTTACGTAATGAACGAGTAAAGATAAATAACGATAAGACACAATGAACGCGGCATAAGTAGGTACTTATTCCCATAATAAGATAAAAGCATAATTAACATAATTAACACAAGTCACAGTACTCACCACTGCCATCTTATGAGCGATGATGCTAGCTACAAACTCCTTCGTAAGTTTGTCCTGTGGATGTGACTCCCTACACTTAGCAATGTACTGCCGGAGTAAGAAGAACTCTCCTGTTACTCCGTATTTCTGCAGGTCCGACAGTTCTGAGGAGTTTTAAGTGTAATATTAAATGTATTTTGTAACGTGTGTAATGTATACACTGTACAGGTTTCTGGTATTAATAGTTAATAGTTAATAGTACTATGTTTACAGTATGCACTAAAGAGTGAAGGGGTATCTTAGGAAGTTTCTTGAACTTTTAACAGGTACCCGTCCTCATTTAACCCTGAATTAAGTTTCCTATCATTCGGCTGAGTCGACCGAGGAGATCGTGACATAGATCCAATGGATCCTTAGCTACTCCCTAGTCTAGGTGACACTGGGATTGCCACCTAGCCTGGTATTGTATTGCATTTGGTTTTAAAGTTAAGATTCGACACGGGGACCCCCTTTCTATGCGGGAATCACACTGTATATCGACACCCCTATATCACCATTTGATAAACAGTGTATGTCGATATACAGTGTAGGTACAGCACTGTATAATGTATATCAACATTCAGAGATCCTAGAATATTATCAATACCACGGACCACATGAGTCCATGTCAGTGTAGTGCCTTTGTTCCTTTATCTGCTATCAAGAGGGGTCACAGTGACTATCACAGTGACGCAAATGTTCCTACGCCCTTCAATGCAAAAGAGTTTCAAGGCGCTACATTTCTTTTGTTCCGAGACTAGATTATTGTATGGATAATGGATGAGTGCGATATTTCCGAGAACAGAAGCTCACTGTTCTCTGAACCGATTAGTGAGAGCACCTCTTTTACACCTCACAGAAGAGCAAATTGTAGGCTGACACGTATGATAGTGGACGTGTTGGGAGGGCTCAGGACCATGTTTAATGTAGGAACCATTCAATAGAATAATAAGTAGATATGGAAAGGGTTCTCTAAGTTAAGACAAAAACATAGCAATTAGATAATGAGTATGAGGTCTACTTAATTAGATAATGAGTAAATGTGTGTGAGTCCTACCGTCCTAGTTCTAATCGCTGTTATGTTAACGTAACGAAATTGGTTGACGGTTGTGGCTACGTGATCTGAGACATGAACTTCTCAAAATATGGAAAACTAACCTGGTTCCTTAGGAGGTTTACGACAAAAGCTCTGTTCTTCCAGTTTGATGATCTTGTCACTGACATCATCAATAGTCATCTGGGGGAGCCGCTTGTCCAGAACGTTCTCGAACGTGACCAGGGATCTGAAGCTGTAGTGCAGGAAGTAACGGAAGGAGATGAGCTGATCGTTCTGGAGGAGGTTGAAGCACTCTTCGATCAGGTTCATCACCTGTTGGGGGGAGCGGTGTTACGGTTCGGTATACTTTCAAAGTATTCGCCAATTCGAGATTGTAAAGCACGATAGTTGAGCTATACACTTCATTAATTGCACGAAGTTTTATCACTCAACCAAACTTACCCTGATAAAATCATGATCATGTGTCTCAGAAACCGCCTCGATCCAAGTCAGGACCACAGGTACGGGTGCAAACTCAGACGTGTATATGAGGTTGAAGAGCAGGTTGAGGAGCTGGTAGATGGTGAGGTTCTTCTCAGAGTCCTTCTTCAGGTAGTTGGTGATCATGTGAGCGATAGCAGGGGTCGTTGTTTTCTGTTTCTTGCTCACTGCGTCTATCTCATCCTGGGGAGGATGATTGTTAATTAACTTACATTGTTTATAGGTGCCACTCATTGTTGAAAAACAGTTGTATCTTGATAGTCAGAAAACTTTATATTCTAAGAAATCCTATATGGATTTCTGTCTCGAAATAGGAAATTTAAAAAATTTTCGGTAAAAGTGTTCCCCTGGCGAACAGGAAAATAGATCGATATCCGACCGAGTTCGGTTCAGCAGTGAAACGCTGGTACTCGGTTCCTAGTCGTTTGTGATTAAATCAAATGTGATAAATATAGCGTACTCTACAATCTATATCTATAAAACGGAGTACGAGTTACCAGAGGCGCCACGACAGCCTCATTTCTCTCTACATTCCACAAATTCTACAATTGTGCTAACTTACAATAGCTCAGCTAAACACCATATTGTAACAATCTATTGTCTCAATCAGTTAAGATTACATTCCCACATCGTTGCCATGCTGTTCAACTTGAACAGCATGGGAAAAGTGGAACGAATGGATTTCTAGTTCCTAACGGTAAAGGATCGTCACTTGAAATCATAGATTTCAGAACTTTTAGGGAATATAATGTTAAATTATCTGACATTCAATCAAAGGTCGGAAATTTCAAAACTTACTTAGTCTCGCATGAATGATAATACATATTACATAATAATATAATGATATAAATGTACATCTTCGTCAGGGTATATCTTAATGCCAAAGCGTGTAACAGTTGTTAGAATCTCTTCAGTTATGTATACGTTAAAGAAAATCTATAAACAAGACATCGCCTCATGTTGCTTATTGAGATGCAGACTATCATCGGCCAATAAATTATGCATAAAACCGCGTACAATTATAAAACACTATTATACACGAACGTCGTACACGACAATAATAATATGATGATTGATCTTAGATTATATTAATAATGTTATTTAAGTAATCATGATATCAAAGTAATATAGTTACTGACCTGAATGCAAATAGTAAGGATGTAGAGGTGTGTTTCTGACTGTATGGGCCATGTTCGGGCCAGGAGCAGTTGCTCTAGATCAAAACCTTTTCCCAGGTTCTTCCTGCATGCCTTGATATTCTCCAAGTCCTGAAAATTCGTTAGAATTACACACCGAAACTTTTCTTTGCATTGGTTGTTGTTAACATTAATTCGGTTTATTATAAGTTAAACACAGTAAAACCTATACTTTTATGAGTATAATAGTAACAGTAAAACATATATATAATAGCAAAACATATAATAGTAAAACATGTAATTTAAAACATATAATATTAAAACATATAATTATAGTAAAACATATAATAACAGTAAAGCATATAATAATAGTAAATCCTATAATAAAAAACATATAATAGAAAAACACATTATAATACGTAGTAAAACGGGAAAACCCATGAGGACTGTCGAGAGATAAGATAAATACACTTAGCGTTACACAAAGTTTAACAAACCTTTTTATCAAGACTAGCGAGGGTGCATGACCGCTGGAAGGAGAAGTCCCCGACTGACTCGAACTGGTGAGAGGTGGGAGTACATACCGTAGCGTATGAGGTGATAGCTCTGATAATCATGGGTCCATCTGATTGCTGCAGGAGTGAGGGGTCAGATTGGTGTACAGATTGAGGGTGAGGGGTCAAATTGGTGTACAGTTTGGGGGAGAGGGGTCAGATTGGTGTACAGATTGAGGGAGAGGGGTCAGATTGGTGTACAGATAGGGGGAGAGGGGTCAGATTGGTGTACAGATTGAGGGTGAGGGGTCAAATTGGTGTACAGTTTGGGGGAGAGGGGTCAGATTGGTGTACAGATTGAGGGAGAGGGGTCAGATTGGTGTACAGATAGGGGGAGAGGGGTCAGATTGGTGTACAGATTGAGGGTGAGGGGTCAGATTGGTGTATAGATTGAGGGAGAGGGGTCAGATTGGTGTACAGTTTGGGGGAGAGGGGTCAGATTGGTGTACAGATTGGGGGAGAGGGGTCAGATTGGTGCACAGATTGAGGGAGAGGGGTCAGATTGGTGTACAGATTGAGGGAGAGGGGTCAGATTGGTGTACAGATTGGGGAGAGGGGTCAGATTGGTGTACAGATAGGGGGAGAGTGGTCAGATTGGTGTACGTCATATTTGTTCATCTGATTGCTGCAGGGGTGAGGGGTCAGATTGGTGTACAGATTGAGGGTGAGGGGTCAGATTGGTGTACAGATTGAGGGTGAGGGGTCAGATTGGTGTACAGATTGGGGGAAAGGGGTCAGATTGGTGTACAGATTGAGGGAGAGGGGTCAGATTGGTGTACAGATTGAGGGAGAGGGGTCAGATTGGTGTACAGATTGAAGGAGAGGGGTCAGATTGGTGTACAGATTGGGGGAGAGTGGTCAGATTGGTGTACAGATTGGGGGAGAGGGGTCAGATTGGTGTACAGATTGAGGGAGAGGGGTCGGATTGGTGTACAGATTGAGGGAGAGGGGTCAGATTGGTGTACAGATTGAGGGAGAGTGGTCAGATTGGTGTACAGTTTGGGGGAGAGGGGTCAGATTGGTGTACAGATTGGGTGAGAGGGGTCAGATTGGTGTACAGATTGGGGAGAGGGGTCAGATTGGTGTACAGATAGGGGGAGAGAGGTCAGATTGGTGTACGTCATATTTGTCCATCTGATTGCTGCAGGGGTGAGGGGTCAGATTGGTGTACAGATTGAGGGTGAGGGGTCAGATTGGTGTACAGATTGGGGGAGAGGGGTCAGATTGGTGTACAGATTGGGGGAGAGGGGGGCAGATTGGTGTACAGATTGGGGGAGAGGGGTCAGATTGGTGTAAAGATTGAGGGAGAGGGGTCAGATTGGTGTACAGATTGGGGAGAGGGGTCAGATTGGTGTACACAGATAGGGGGAGAGTGGTCAGATTGGTGTACGTCATATTTGTCCATCTGATTGCTGCAGGGGTGAGGGGTCAGATTGGTGTACAGATTGAGGGTGAGGGGTCAGATTGGTGTACAGATTGGGGGAGAGGGGTCAGATTTGTGTACAGATTGAGGGAGAGGGGTCAGATTGGTGTACAGATTGAGGGAGAGGGGTCAGATTGGTGTACAGATTGAAGGAGAGGGGTCAGATTGGTGTACAGATGGGGGGAGAGTGGTCAGATTGGTGTACAGATTGGGGGAGAGGGGTCAGATTGGTGTACAGATTGAGGGAGAGGGGTCAGATTGGTGTACAGATTGAGGGAGAGGGGTCAGATTGGTGTACAGATTGAGGGAGAGGGGTCAGATTGGTGTACAGATTGGGGGAGAGGGGTCAGATTGGTGTACAGATTGGGGGAGAGGGGTCAGATTGGTGTACAGTTTGGGGGAGAGGGGTCAGATTGGTGTACAGATTGGGTGAGAGGGGTCAGATTGGTGAACAGATTGGGTGAGAGGGGTCAGATTGGTGTACAGATTGGGGGAGAGTGGTCAGATTGGTGAACAGATTGAGGGAGAGGGGTCAGATTGGTGTACAGATAGGGGGAGAGTGGTCAGATTGGTGTACGTCATATTTGTATCCTCTGATATTTCATGTGATAACGTTACATCTGAACCGATGTAAAGCCTTAAACGTAAACCTACGACGATGCACACGTACGGCGTACCCAGACCTTTTCCCCAACTCTTACCATAACCCTAAAACTCATCCAAAAACCTCGTTTAAAACGGCAGCGTAAAATGTCCCATTTCCAGGCTGATTCATCGATTTATTGATTTTTGTGATGTAGATTTCTTCTTATGTATGGTATGGTAATGCAATGTGAATTCAAGGCTACAACGATTATTCTTGTTGAGGGCCGAGTGGGGTTGGTATTGAATCTTTCTTGGAACAGTAGTCTGGAAATTCGAATTCTCCAGACTGAACAAAAGCTTATCATGTACATTGTACATATTATATCCTATCACAGAGACAAAAGGAACAACATTATTTCAAATTAAACACAGAAGATACAACAACATTGATATTTAAGTGTACAAGGCACATGACGCGACGGTTCAATATTAAAGGATAAAGAAGAACAGGTACAGACTATTCGGTACAATGGAAACAATACACAGTAAACGATAGGTACAATTCTAAATAAGTACAGTCACTGTTCTCAATAATTCTCAAGAAAAAAGCCACGTTTTAAAGGCGATAATTTAAACAATTGTCAGAAACACCGAAGAGTCGAGGGAGTACTCACAGCAACAATAAAGACAATGTAAACATCTGAACTTCCTGTGCAAAATGTTTCATTTTTAAGCTGACTGTCTCGTGAGACGGCAGCAAAGAAGACGTCGTAAAAGAGACGGTGTATGCGAGTTATTGCCACGACCTAAGCACACGTGTTTTATTGTGGTTGTATTGTAAGCGGTGGCGTTTCCAATTCTTTATAGTTGTACTATACCCACCGTCCGAGCAGTTATCCCATGTTGCGCTCAGAACGCAGGGCAAATACTTGCGGAGCCGGACAGGCTGAGGGAGCTCTTGGAGAAAAGATAACCAGAAACTAACACTCAATACTTCGAAAGGAACAATGCATTGCAGATCGTCCAGATTACCACATGACATCACCTAGGCGCGGATTATCCCTAATATAGCACGTGGAATTCCCCACTGTGCTCCTGACACGTGCACTAAGAGTTGTATGTCATGAACCTAGGGTGGGGGATTATACTTAAGGAAGAGTGAGAGCGTTCAGGTTTATAGCATTGTTCTGAGAGCTAACTTATACCTTGGATACAAGACGCGGGTAAGACCTCGTACTTATACTCTGGCAAAGTGCCAGTATCCTGGCAGTGTGCCAGTATCCTGGCAATGTGCCAGTACCCATTACCCGGAATTAGCAGTGCTGGTTGGTCATGACACGTTTACATTGTGGAGAGTTGAGCCACCGGTAGAATGTGCTTCGTAACGAAGACTCATAAAAAATTGATGAAAACACTGATAATAATATGGCTGATTAGGTCATGAAAGGACGTGCTGGAACAAGTTAACGAAACGGAGTCTTTGGTAGGATGTCAGTACCTAACCAACGGGTAACTGGTAGATTACCGACAGATTACCGGCAGGTAACTGGTAGATTACCGGCAGATTACCGACAGATTACCGGCAGGTAACTGGCAGATTACCGGTAGCTAAAGTAACTGGTAGATTACAGACAGATTACCGGCAGGTAATGTAAGAGAGAGGGAGAGCTGCTCAACAGAACACAAAAGCAGAATATCAATACAGGAGAGAATAATATGAACAGCACTTTTATTGTAACAACCGACTCAAAGGTAAGGTTAGCGGAGGTATTAATGTGATCAATGTTGGATAATAACATTATGAGAACTGAGAACCCGCAATTTATAATACAGAGACTGTAATAGTGAGACTACTACTCTAGTGCACTATAGTGGTACTTCTCACTATTATATATTGCGGGTTCTAACTACTCAAACACTCTATTAACAAAAATGAGTGTAACTGAAATAGTATGGGATGAAATGAAAGCAAACGATAAACGCATACGGTAGATTTATCATTCTGTTTGTTTAACCCATTAGATCTAACTTCCTGGTTTACTTTCTAATCTACTAAGGTACGTTCTGAGATAATTACACGTACCAGCAACGGAATGTCGATAAATTGTTTGAAAAGTCATCCCGGAAGTTTTGTGATTATGATTAAGAGTAGCTAACATAATTTTCCCGTCTTTTTTCCGAAATGTATTTATACAATTGCAATAGTAATACAATCTAGATGATCTAATTTCAGGCCATTTTACTTCCTCCCCAGTCCCCATATCATATTTCATCCCCCATACCAGATAAAATTACATACTGTCGTGGCAAGTAATACATATTGATATATAGTATAGGTCACACACACGACCCGTTATTCTTTCATTTTATATATTTGATCCTTATAAAAAGTAAAACTTTGAACTAACCCTGTCACTCCTAGTAAGATCCCTGGCTGGAAGGAATTGGACCGGGACAGCAGATCCGGGATTGGGTGCAATTGTACGGGCAGCGCCACTTCTAGTTCTAACTGCATTAGAACTTGTTGAGTGCTTCTGCGCAGGATTCTTGGCAGCCTGATCAAATTTTGTCGGTTTAGAAAGTTAGTTATCAGCTCAAGATCTAATAAAGAGTTGGCTCACAATTTCATCTCTGTCCCAGCCCTGGCGAATAGATATTCATAGATATTTTAAACGATCCAAAGATAATCCAATTTTAATCCAATTATATACTAACTTTAGACAGGAATCTTCCGTTAGACTGAATTAGATCAATAAAAATTCATAATCGACATAATTAACGGAAAGAGCTCCGAAAAATTCCTAGCATCCCAGCAACAAACAAAATTGAGTTACCATTGCAGGAGGAATGGCGGCTGTCCTGATTGAAACAGTCTCAGAAAAGTGAGGTACAGGAGAGGTAGATGGGACCCCATTCGTGACTGAATGCCCTGAGCCAGCTCTGACCTGATAAACGGTCCCAGAGTTCAGCATCATCTGCCTGATCTCCAGCAGGGTTGCTTTTTGGTGGTGCACTGGACACAGATCCCTGCGAGGGTTTGCTTCTTTAAAATATGAGTTTGCAAATTCTTGCTTCCATGGAACGTCTATTTAAGGTGTTCATAAGTAATAACCATTTATTAGAGAGATATACAATATAAATGCAGACAAATGTTATTTACTTGTCGGCTGGAGCGAAGTTTTTGCAGTTAGTCTTAGAGCATCGTTTAGTAGAGGGTTCCTGGGGTGGTTGCGCGCTTGGAGCTGGTACTGGCGGCTGAAACATAACATTCGATTATTATAGAGGCCTGTTTAAATAAGATTAGAAGCCCAGGACATTTGCTTGGGAATCGTATTATTGTTGTGATGATATTTATATACGGCCGGAATTTAGGGAATCTTGTTATCGTTAGTCTCGTCTTTAGCATTTTGTTGTCTTGTAATTGAATAATTGACTTACATCGTTAGTTCCAGGCTCTGGTTTGATCCAGATTACTCCAGGAATCACATCTTTTTGTCTTCTTTTTGGAGCATCGTGTCTGGGCGGCACCCATTGAACGTCCGGAGAACTTGCTTTCTCTTGGGGAGGAACTGGGATAACGAGATTTGTAGGTAATTTGTCAAAAATATTTATGGAAAGGGTTAACTTAATCTAAATTGAGCAATTCTTAGACGTAGAGCAAGGAATTGGTCCTCAATACGATGATAGTGATACATGGGTGATGGGTGTAATATCAGCATATTATATAAACGAATTACCATATCGGCCCTAATTTGGACGGCCTCCTAACGAGATTTGCCCTGTAATGGTCACAATGTGGGCTGGTTATCATTTGGGTAGATCATTTTGTTCAATCCGAAGTTAATATGTTCATTTCAGTGTCCAATGATACTCTCGCATTTCTAATCCATCTTATTTATTTCGCTGCTTTATCGAATTTTAAAAGTTATTACAGACAAACATTTCAACAGCGGTTGGTCACACTTTTATTGAGCACAATAATTTATATATTATAATGAGTAATATAAGTAATCAGTTACAATCGACAAAGTACTCGTGAGCGGCCTTTGTTGGAGCATTTTCCAAACTCGAGTTTATAATATGGGCTCACAGTTTGGGTGACTCAAATTAGGGCTGATAAAGTACTCGTTTTTGATAGCTAAGGATTTCAAGAAACAAACCTGGAGGTGAAGTAATTATGATTGGTCTAACAGGCGATTGCACTTTGGCCACTTCTTTTTCCTTATGAGACTGGCAATTCTCTTTTGGTTTCACAGGGTTAGCCTCTGCAGGAATTTCAGCGGTCTGAGCAGGACTGCTGTCGGTCTCATTAGTGGGTGGTGTTTGCATACTTGAAGAAATGTTCGGGTGGTAAACCAGAGTAGGTATTTGAGGCACCTGTGTGGACGTAGGTTTTGGGGAGCTAGGTTTCTGGGATCCTTTTTGGGCATCAAGCGTCTCCACAAGTTTTGTGAGAGTACTCTGATGGAGGGGCTTACTAGGGGCAATCCCAGATTTGCCTTTTAATCCTGTCAGCTTTAATGTAGGAACTGAGGGGTTTGATATAACTTTGTTCAGTGGAATTGTTATCTTAATTGATGGTAACGAAGGCTCTGTGGTAGAAGCACTAGGTTTGGTAGCAGGAACTACTGGTTTAGTCGCTGGAAACATGGCCGAGGGAGCTGTGGTCTTAGTTGATGGAGCTGTGGTTTTAGTTGATGGAGCTGTGGTCTTAGTTGAAGGAGCTGTGGTCTTAGTTGACGGAGCTGTGGTCTTAGTCGAGGGAGCTGTGGTCTTAGTTGATGAAGCTGTGGTTTTAGTTGAAGGAGCTGTGGTCTTAGTTGACGGAGCTGTGGTCTTAGTCGAGGGAGCTGTGGTTTTAGTTGATGAAGCTGTGGTTTTAGTTGAAGGAGCTGTGGTCTTAGTCGAGATAACTGTGGTCTCTATTGAGGAAGCCGTCCTTTTAGTCGAGGAATTCGCGAGGACAGGTGTTGTAAGAGCGAAAATCTTATTCAAAGGAGCTGGACCCTTTTTAGTTGTAGAAATAACAGAGGAACTCCCTTTTGGACTAATCTTTGTTGTTGGGAGTGCCGGTTTTGCTGACATAAGACCGACAGCGTTTGCTACCTTATCTTTTATATGAGTAGAAGCAGTGGTGACAGGCTTCTCTATGATAATTGAATTTTTAGATTCTAAAGCTTTCCGAGAAGGTACTCTTGCTCTGCTTAACTGTTTCCTGAAAAATATCATGGCTCATTACATTGAATGATATTAGGTGATAACAGTAGGCATAATCATCGACCATCAGATTCACTTTTTGTACATAAATGCATGCTATGACCAATTATCTTAATACCTCAATAATTGGATATAATTATTCCCGGGAATTATATCCCCGAAAAGTCGTGAACACTGAGCATTAATAATTTCCCGGAAGAGTTACGAGAGTTATCATCAACACAAACTGCCAGTCGCCTTGTGCGGGAAATTAATCAAAACAAATAGCAGTTGCGCACTATATATAACATACTATATTTTATGATGAGCACGTATCACATTACACATTCTTTCATCCAGAGTCAGGAATTAATTATAATACAATAATACCTTGGCTGTTGAGTGCTCGGGCTCGCCTTCCGCCAAGGCGTCGGGCATTATCGCCTGTAGCACTCAGCAGCCAAGGTATTATTGTATTACTAGCAGGAACCCGTCTAACCCTAAAGTGGTGTCAAGCAGGGACAAAAGGATTTCGCGGCATGTACGAAATCGCGAAATTTCCCATTCTCCGCGACAAATTTTATGTATAGTTTAATGTATAGCCTGTTAAATTTCGCGGTACCGCGAAATTTGGCCAAAATAATCGCGAAATCCTTTTGTCCCTGGTGTCAAGACTCTAGAGACTAAAATAATTATTACCTATTTAATTCGCGTTTTTGACACCACTTGGGGGTCCAAATTTTGGGCTCTAAAACTCCTATTTCTTGGCCAATTTTTCATTTTTTCATGCTGATTTGAAGGCCATTAAAGCATTTGACCCAATCAAAAAAGTTTCAGTTGTATATCTTTTACGGTTTTTGCGGAAAGTCGTGTTAAAGTTGATGCCGTGGTGTCAGTAAAATGGCACGGATAAATAAATATATATATATCGTCTCGCTTTATATATAGTAAGATAGCATGCATTTAGAGGTAACAGCAGTTGGTCACACTTTTATTGAGCACAATAATTTATATATTATCGCCCGTAGCACTCAACAGCCAAGGTACTATTGTATTATAGCATGCATTTAGAGGTAACAAATCAATACCCACATTTTTTCAGCAGCAACCGTCGTCACATTTGTGGGTGTCCCACTGTTAACAGGCTTCCGGACATTACCACCAATAACAAACAAAGGATCAGGAGGTTCACCACCAGGATTGATAGGACTGGCAGCTCGCTTCTCAGAATCCTTAGTAATCAACCTAATGGTATTTGGTTGTTTGATCGGCTGAGAAGTAACACTATTGGGAGGTTTCACCAGGCTGTTGGGAGGTTTCAGCAGGCTTAGTGTGGAGCTGGGTTTGCTGGAGGGTTTTGGTAAATGGAGAAAGTCTGAGTCGTCCATAAAGCTTGTTTTGAAGTTTACTGATGGGCTGTTTACAGAGGTTTTAATGGTCTTGTTGGAGGACTGTACCCAATCTTTAGCCGGTGGAACTGAAATTATAGAATGGATTGAGAAATTTAAATTTTGCATAATTACTGGTCAAGAGAAGTTGTTAGGCTAAATGTTTGTAGTGGATCATGAATGAAAATTAATTATGAGAAAGTGAATGAATATTGTATACCTAGATGCGTAGTGTTTTGAACAAAATTTCTCTCTTTCCAATGGGCCAACTGTAGACGCAAAGCCGACACCTTCTTTTGACTTGTATTTTCTAGGATCTCAAGAATGGATTTTGGGAGGTAGCCAATCTGTATGTTCTGATCATTGTGATCACTGTAGTGGTTTTCTGTTGATGTGGTTTTCTTTCCTACTTTCAACTGCATGTTTTTTTGTGGATTTGTTAGATTCATTGCGTCCACAAGTAAGCCGCTACAATATGTCAGAGAGTCACCTAAGTTGGCATTTTGAACATTTTTACTTTGAATGACCTTAGAATGAACCTTCTTACTTTTAATGAATGCAGAATGAGCATCTTTACTAAGAATCATTTCAGGAGATATTGGCATACCATTATTTTTTAAATGGCGTTCTAAACTCACTCGGCTTTCTCTATGAGTCATGAACTTGGCAGTACGACCGTGATGAACGGGCTGAAAAATGGTATCTGACGGTTTACGTATTATGTAAGATGCACGAGGATTCAGAGCTTCTAAATTAGGGCACCTAATGGAACTGTTTGGTACAGCGTTGGTTTTCTCTTTCGAAGAATCAGATTTCGTCACAGATACATCTACAGATGGGCCCTGGGAGACCCTCTTGGTAGCCATAAAGCGTCTTAGATCAGAACGCAACTTAGAACTCACTTTCAGGCTTTGGCTTTTAACTGCCTTACTAGTTGTAGAGATTTTGTAGAGATTTTGTGCAATATCTTGTTGCATTTTACCTTCCACCGAGGTATCAGATATGACGTCAAATCGTTGTGTAGGAGAGTTTGCGGAATATAGTAACTGAGGGAGCAGTAAATCAGCAACACGAGCTTTTTTTCGAGCAAATTGCTGTTGATATTGGAAAACATGTTGAAAAGGAAATTGCGCGACTGATTTACTATGCGATGCTGGAACCAATGGACTCCAGAAATCTGTAATGGGATGATGTGAAATTGGTATAGGTTTTGGTTGAATGAGCTTGCATTTAGGAGTTGTCACATTGAATGCCGAATTCTGACTCTGCACTCTGGTCTTGCGAGGTTTATCTCCCATTACTTTGATGTTAGTACAAAGCATAGACGGATTCTTATTACTAACAAGTTGACTCGATTTTGTTAGGTTTGGTTCACTAGATTCAAATGTCATGGATGGATTTAAGTATTTGCTAATCTTTTGGATATTCTTCTGAATTTCTTCGCAGCTAGGAGCTTTCAATTCGGTGAAAGATGAAGATGGGTGAGCAAATACAATATCTGAAATAAGGAAAGTGAATCGATGGTGAGGTTAAGTGTTAAATGCACTGAAAAGCTTTTGACGACGTTTCCATCATATTGTCATTATTACACAATAGATACACTATTTTATATCTCGATGTCAAGCCATCCAAAAATCTTGATCACGATTCAACTTCAGAAATTGCACAATTCTAATTTCAATCAGAGAAGGAACCATTAACTGATGTGTCTGAGATACCAAGCTTACTAAAAATATACCTCTGCTAAGCGATGAGCGTTGATCAACTCTCTTTTTTAAATGCAATTCTTCCGCCGATGATGAATTTCTTCGCCTCTAAACCATGGAGAATGTTAATATCGTACAAGGTTATCTATTAACAGAAACAAAGAAATAGAACAATAAACTAAGTGCTAAGGTAAGAGACAATTGCCCATTACTCATACATTGGTTAATTATTCCAAATAAGGCCTGATCACATAACAGAAGCTATGATGCCGCCATAGTATATATAATATAGTTATAATATATATGTCGCCATGTAACTATAGCTATGTAAGAAGCAACATCTCATTACGGAAACATTCCTTATTATTCTTTGGCACCGAATAGGAGATTGGTATTGTATAAAGTTGAATCCAATGATGAATGGAGTACTAAAGAGTTAAGCAATCAGGAAATAAGACATGTGAATAAACACATACTGAAAATAGATCTCAACCTATGCAATTGCACTGCCATTAATCCAGATGGAATCTTTGTCGAGTAATTTTTGTAATTTTGAATCAGCAGTATTTACTTTTAGTTTGGTTTTACTTATCAATGTTTATTTCTCTCCGTTTTTATTATTATTTCAAGGATTCTTTTAAAATATTATTGTGATTTTTGTTACGTTTACGATTGTGATTTTTGTTACGTTTCATGTTTTCATACCTTACGAGACATATTTAAATGGTAAGAAAGTTGGTGGTTATTGTTGATTTTTCTCTGATTCATCAATTAATTAATGAACACTAGTATTCTATTATGAATTGCTTTAAAAATGATTTTGGACACGTTCCATTAAAAATAGGCGAGCTCTGTCACTACTTTATTGGCCACGAGGTCAAAAGAAAATCGCAGCACCTGCGGAATCGCGATTTTTTCAATTCTCCGTGACAAATTGTGCATTTTTCTTTAAATCTGAGGACCAAATTTGCACATTCTCCTTTATATCCGAAGACCAAATATCACGTTCTTTATAAAGTTATAAGTATATGGAACCAATCACATCCACAGCCTTCCGAATGTAGGTACGGACTTCAGAAGACCGAAAAATATTTTCAGCTCATAATGATCAGGGTAGCAAGAAACATGAACAAAAGTAGTTTCCAGAAAAACTTTGAAAAACTTTAGACTTAAAAAATGTTCGGTCCCAGTCATTCTCGATAGGTACTTCGAAGGCAGAGCTCCCGCTTCCGATTGAAAAGGGGTTAAGCCTGCCTTCCGAGATTGCATTACAAGGGGGAAGCCTCGAGTCCAAAATCGTGTATCGAGGGGTAGGTGCAGACTTCGAAAAACCGAAAAATATTTCCGGCTCATAATGATCAGGGTAGCCCGTAGCATGAACCGTGGAAAAATTGGTTTCCAAGAATCCACTTTCACAAGCATTTGACATTTCTTAACCCACTCGTCTGCTGACGTATCATTAATCATTATTAGCCAAAAACTTCCCTAAAACTTAGATATAAAACTTAGACTACTAGACATAAGTTTACCACTAGACATAAAGTTAACCACTAGACAGTAGACACCCCAATCAATGTCTGGAAAACTGCAAACATTTCGGGAGTAGTGGAAGATAACAGACACTGTCAGTCTCCTATACTCTCTAGAGGATTATTATTAGTTAAGTTGAGGCTAAATTTCAAAGGCTCCGGAGAAATTGGAAATTGTTTATACAAGATGAAAGAGCTGATCAGAGAAGATCTTTGTATTTAATTTTCTCAAATATTGGGTTTAATTTTAATAAAATAAGATGAAAAAATCCCCAAATACCATGATTTAATTTGGGGTACTATACGAAATGTGGCAGTTTTCGGAATTTGCATTTAGGTCACCGGACTTATGTCGAACATAAACATGTCTCGTAAGGTATAATATTTAATGAGCTATAATCAATGATTATTAATCATAGGTAGAATGTGACACACAATGCTAAAATTAAGCTAAGAAGGTGCCGATAAGGGAGCTTACAAAATGTAAGGCTATGTTGGCTAACGTTTTTTATAAACTAACAGAAAAAGAGTATAAGTTTATAAAATAAAGTATTTACCTTATCTCGTCGAACTGATTTGCAAGCAGGAGATCCGTCTGATATAAGTTTACTAATATGAGAACTCTTCAGAGAGGAAACATTTATATTTCTCTTGTCAACAGATACAGCTAGAAGAGTATTCCTCAACGCTGCCGCCTTGTGAGGGATCAAATAGTCATATTGCTTTGTCCTTTTCCCTCTCTGACTCAAAAGGGGTCTGTACTGCTCATGTAGTTGCTTGAGCTTATCATTGATAAGATCGCCTGCCAATGCATCGACAAGGTTTTTTGTGTTCAGTGGGTCAAAATACTGGAGATTAGGGGGGAATTCTTGAGACACATACTGTTTAATATCAAATTTTATTTTATGTTCATTCAAATGATCTGCAACTTTCAGCAAAGTTTTCATTCCATGGATGCCGTAAACAATCCAATCCCTTGCCTCCTTATCCTTAATATTTTCAATGTCTTCAACTTTGAGGTCCAGGATGCTTATCTTTTTGGCCAATACTATCTGATTATCGTTAACAAGAGTATTGACCAAAATTTCTGAATTATTGCTGGAATCATGACCAGAGGAGGTGGACGATGTTACAATTGTGGTTACAGGGATAGTAGGTGCCGAAACCACCGAGGTTACAGTCACGATATCAGCAATAGTTGATGCTTCTATGATTGAGGGAGCAACAACTGATGTCGCTAAAACTGCAGCAACTGGTGTTGCTACGTCTAACGTTGATATAACTGATGTTGAAATGTCTGATATTGTCACGTCTGGTTTTGCAACGACCGCCGATTCTGCTAAAACTGATGTGGCTGTGTCTGATGTATTTGCAAAAGATCCACAAATATCTGAGTTCAAATCAGGGGTGGTACATCGACTTAGTACAACAGTGGAAGGTGACTCAGTGTCCCGTCTAGGAGAGGATTGGTTAGATTTTATCACAGGTTCAAATCCTTTGTTACTCAGATTAGTGAACAAATTACTAGATTGTTTGTTAGCAAGTTTGGCATCTTTCACCAAAGATTCAACATCGTCTTCAGGAATGATGTCAATCCCATCAGAGTCGTAGTCCAATACGGTGACCTGAAAAAGGAGAGAGTGAGAAAAATTAGGGCAAAATGACTTCTTTAAAAGTGAAATTCATCAATTCATTTTAATATAGCCAATGAAGGTAATCTTACCACACCAGTTGAGTCCTTCGATGTCATTCCAATGTCAAAAGCGGGTAAGTCATCATCTTCGTCCTTCAGCTGCATTCAATTTATTGTAACGAAGCCGACATACTGATCGTAAATAAATTGTTTAATAAAAGTAAATTTTTTCATTGAAATGTGAAATATACGAATTTGTTGATAACAAGAACTTCACCTTTTAAAAGTGCTGTGCAATATATATGATAGGACTAGTGAACTAATTTAAAAAAGACAATCATATTAAAGGAGAAATGATTTTTGTACGTCATTAGAGAATTCATTTTACAAAATATTATGTACAAACAATTAAGTGGGCACATTTAAGCAAAATAAAGGAAACTGGTCGCATGATATATATTATATATTAGGCCAAAAGATTTCAGTAGTATATAATAATTTTGTGAAAACTTATCCTAAATCACAGTATGAACTTGTATATGATATGTGAAAGGCTTTCAATTAAATCTTTTGTGGTGCCCATGAATTAAAAACATTTAACTCAAATTGCAAGTTTTAAGTGAAATTCTTGCTAAGTCTTAATGGCATCAAATGATAAATACTTTACTCTTCTACAATCTACAAGTATCGATGAAGTATGATAATAACATATGAATATTATAATATGTGTTTGTACCTTATGGCGTACCATACTCTCTTCCTATGGTTTAAAAAGTAAAATTAATCAGAAACACCTTTTTAAAATAAGCATCATTTTGCCTGTATCTTCCGCCTACGATGAGGATTTAGTTCTTTTAAAAGTAGTTGAATAAGAATGCAAAAACCTTGATAAAATAATACCTTGTAGTATAATGAAGATAGGTGTACTTTGTTTTAAATGTCATTTCTCATTTCTCATTCCCTGTCCTGGGCAATAAAACATAAATTTTGTCTTGTTACTCAGTGGCTGTTAAATCGGGGAAGTCACTGAGCTTTTCAAAAACAATATTAAAATTTCCTTCTTCGCAATAAACCTCAAATACAATGTCCAATCTTGTACATTCCCATGGACATTACTTCCGACAGCAAGGAGACAAGACCCTCTGTCAACTTGGAATTTAACAGAGGGTCCTAACTTACTAAGGAAGCGCAATCCATGGGAACATGCAAAAATAAGCACATAAATTTCCATCGTGATAATGGTAAAGGGCTGTTACTAATAATCATCGAGCTTTTCACATCAATTCAAGGGTAACCTTTTTTTCGGTATGAATACCAATTACCACACGTTAAAAGGGTTGAAAAGTTTTTTCGAAGAAAAAATATGACTAATTCTCCATTGTCGTTTATGAGCATATAAGTTTATGTCCATCATAATAATGGATCATGGCTGTAATATCAGTTTAAATCATTGAGCTTTTAAAGATTGCCTGCATTTTCAACTTTCTGAAGTCTTTTCAGTTCAGCTTTCTTTTTCTTTGGTATGACTATCTTGCCAAAAGCGTTAAGATACTTTTCCTTAACGAAGTAAATTTCCTCTCCACAATTGTAAAATATCGTGTGCTTGAGCATCATCTTGTCGGATGCATAAGACAGAAACCCTTGCTTGTCATATATTTCGAAGCTTACCTTTGCTTTCGTTTCTATATCTCCAAATCCAGAACCCTTTGAAAGACCATACTGACACTGGTATTCAAGAGCTAGATTTTTACCAGCGACCCTATCTGGACGTTGATAGTTACTGAAGACATTATTGGCCCTCTTGGACTCCAGTCCCTCGGTTAAACTCTCCCATTTTGCTGCGAGTGCGAGTCCGTGTATGAAACTTGTGCAGCGGACAAGGCATCGTTTAGTCACAACGTTTTCCTTCAGAAAAAATTCTAGAATGTTTTTCTTGATAGGTTTCTTCTGTAAACTTATGACAGGAGTATGATCGAACAGGGCATCTATTAACTTTCGGTTGATTTCAACCACTGTTACACAATCGTGCCTTTGATTGTAGTTTTCTTTATTCAAGAAATATACGATGACTTCTTGCGAGCAGTGAACTCCTTGCTTGAAAGTGTGTAGATCCTTTTCAAAATCACCGGATTTATGCAAAGGGGTTAAATTGGTGGCTCCTTCTGAAGAATCGAAGACGGTACGACCTTTAAGGCTGCCGCATTTTACGTCCACCTTCTCCTGTTTGATGTTCACGCAATTTTCTCTTTCATTGGTCACCTTATCTTCTGACTCAATCACACCGTTTCTGTTGGTGTCATCAAACGGTTCCTGTTTCTCACAATCTTGAATGGTGTTGTAGACAGCGTCTAAACGGAGTTCAGGTAACCCTGCCCTGAAATGGAGATGATGTGAATGAATGAATGAAGGGAAACTGATACTATGTATCACCTTTAAAAAACCAGAAACATGTTGATCAAAAGCCCAGCAGCATTTGGCCACTGCTTTTATCTTTCAATGCTTCAAATCCTAGGGCTAGCTCAGTTTGCCAGGTCTAGGATGAGAGTCGTCGAAAGATAATGGCAAAGGTTTGGCGAGCAGAGATGTGAACACCATGTTACTTTTAAGCGGCGACAGTCCGGACGCCAAAACTGGTCAAAGATCGCAGTCTGGGTCGACATTTCGCTGCGAATCGCGCAGTGCACGTCTCTGTTGGTGAGATTTCAAAGGAGGAAAATGAGCGAATTATACTACTCTTAATCTTATACTCTTCATGTTATCCAGATAAAACAACAAAATTAAATCTAATCAGTGATTCTGATGGTAATTTATCATGGTCTAGTCGGCTGCATTTATCTGCCAAAAATGCAAGAATTAGGGCCTGACATTTGGCAAAATGCAGCTGAGCGCCCAATGCATGTTATGAAATTGATAAGTGATCTGGGGTCATTAGGAAAATAGGAAGTCCACATGCAAAAACTTACCCCGTTTTACACCATTGGTCCAACCCGTCAGGGATCAGTCCAAAGTTTGGAAAGCCTTTCCACTGCAGGCTTTCCACTGCTACTGATCCCCCGTTTAACCCTACCATTGTGGCCATAGCCTAAAAGTTTTAAAAATTAAATAAGAGCTTATAAACGTGACGAACATGTAACCGAGGCAAGGAGGGAGAATGTTGCTTGAGGTTGGATCAATTTCCAAATTTTAGAAACCGTTTTGCATTAAATTTAGCCCATTATTATTCCAAAATAAGCTCTGCTTTATAGATTGGGCCAGCCTCGTGCAACAGTGGACCAGTTTTGGTCACATGTTCGTCATAGTAATAAATTATCAATTGGATGAATAAAATGAGTCTACAAAATTTTTAGACAAACAATTTGATCAATTGGGGTAGCAATTAAGCAAAGAATCTAAATTGATTTTCAATAATGGTAAATTTAATTTATTAGTTTTTATGACGTGATTTTTATGAAAAGAACCACTAACAGATTTGTCAATTTCGAAGAATCTGATTACAAACAATTCTACTAATGTAATTCATCACTTTGAAAACCATCTGTTAGTCAAGCACATGCTAAAAATACATAAGAAAAATTCTAATAATTATGCTTACGATCAAGGAACGTTTTAAATGGTGATCAAACAGAAAACGTCGTAAACACGACTCTATAGACCATATCGTTAAAGAAACTTCTGCACAAAATAACATCTCTTATCTTTTAAAAAAGAAAATATTCACATCATACAGAATAACTCACTGGAACTGCTAAAGCTACAACAAAAATTCCAATCAGTAATTTTCAAGCAATTCTACAAAAACCGCTGAAGTTCTTAATAAGAAAAATCTTGTCATCTTCCTCATAGAAATTAACAATTTTTTCACAGTATTTGGGTGACAGATACGTAAGATCGCCGTCTGAATCAAATACAGCCAAGGATAAGGAACACTTTCTTTCCATGTCTGTGTACATACTAAATTTGTCAAGCTCATACTTTACGAGAAATTCATTCTCCAAGTTGGATCCTGCATTTCTATCACTTCTCTGAAAGTTAGAGAATCTGTTGTTCTTCTTTTTCTTGTCAATCCCAGGGGTCTGTTGGATCTCATCCCATTTTTCAGAGAGCGCAAGTCCATGTGTGACTGATTTGCACAACAGAAGAGACGTTTTCTTCTCCTTTTTAATTGATGCAAATCGTTCCTTCAGTTCGATTTTCAGGGGAAGTTTTTGGATGCTAATAGATTTGTGACGGGAGACTAACTGTGCCATGTCTTTATAGTTCAAGTCTTTAAGAGACACTGTTTTACGTATGCTCTCATCGTACATTAGCTTGAACTTTTGATGGACATTTGTGCCCAGAAGAAACTTGCTGAGCTCAGTTTCCATGTTTTTGGAATCCAAAGAGCAAGCAGTCGAAATCTCATGATGATCCAAATTGGTAGTTCCAGCAGTCATTGGCTTTACTTCCATTTCACGTTGAGTAAAGGAAGCATCTCCATACTTGGGATCAGTCATCATTATGTCCGACTTTGAAGATAGGACTCTGGAAGCCACAGGCATCTGTTCACGTTCCACTTTAAAATGACCGAATAAACCCTTTGAATTATCCATCACAGGATCATGAATACTGCCATAATTGGAAAAAACTGAATTGGTAGCTCCTGTGGAATTGGTATTTACCGCATCGCACTCTTCACCTCCATTTTCCTGTGTATTGTCCTTGTGAATTGGGATATATTCATCAAACGTTTGTGAACTTCTCGTGTCTATATCTTTGTCCTCTTTCTCATTGATACAACTAAGTAGTTCTTGAAGTGTTTCCTTTAGATTGGTGGTTCCTGCAGATAAGATGGAATGACAATCCATATCTGGCAGTTCAGACTTTCTTGAATCGTATGGACTCAAGAAAGCATCAGCACTGGTTGTAGCACAGAAAATTTCATCCGTGTTTTCAGTTGAAGATGTTGATGAGTGAGGCCCGAAATTCTGAAAATTCTCCACGTCATCAACAGGGACATCTGACCCTTGCTCTAAGGGATTAACCAACCGAGCTTCGGACGGAGCTACAGCAGATACGGTTTCATCGTCCATTTTTGACAGTTCATACATACTTGCATCAGAAAGATTGAAGAAAGCATCAGCATCAGTTGGATCATATAAACTTACATCCATGCTGTCAAAAGAAGAAGGCAATGAATAATCATATCCAATATTCTGTGATTCCTTTATGACTACATCGTTGGCATCTGATCTTTGCCCAAAAGTGTTGCCCAGTAGAGCGTTGGTCGTGTCAGGAAAGATAGTTTGTTTCATTGGTGGAGCCTGCAGATAGGTAGAACCGGGTTTGGACCCTGGGTCAAAGCAAATCAAGACATTTTCCTCGAAATGATATCCCAGAGGACTCAGTTGATCATCAAATTCTCTTTCTTCGTCTGAAGCCCGAGGTGAGCTGTCTGAAGTTGACTGATATCCAGAGTCTTGCCTGAGGTAGTAACAAATTTAAGTTGGTTGAATCGAATTAGACAAATTCATGAATTTAAATAATTTAAACATGATTTGGCCATATAAACATGATTTGGCCATAAATGATAAATTTGAGGGGGGGGGGGGGGGGGGGGGGGGGGGGCATGCAAAGCTTGAAATATGCAATTCTTAATCGATTCCGAAAATTTCATGCAAAAATATTGAAAACTGAAGGAGTTATTTCAATTTCAATCTCATTTTGGCTAGTAACCCGGACCGAGATAATATGTGCGATTTTGCTCATGGAGGTCTTTTTAATTTTACTTAGGTATCCACTGTTCAACAGATATTGAGCTATATCTTTCACATAAAGTTAGTCTCTCAACATAAAGTTAGTCTCTCAAAAATATCGAAATTTGATCGAATTTTGGGAAAAAGCTATATGGGCATAATATGGTTTTAAGCTCATAACTCAGTCATTTTTTGACCAAACTGGATGTAAATTCATGTACTAGTCCAAAAACAGGCTTATCTTGCAAATCTAAACGAAACATATAGCTCGACTAATTTTGGGTATATTAAAGCTAAAGTATATTAAGGGGGCCGGGGGGGGGGGGGGGGGGGGGGGGGGGGGTCTTCATCAAAATTCTCTCGAAATTGATTTTATAGTTGTTTCTGATAGAGGGGAGTGATATCTATCAGCTGCTTTTGGTCCCATGGAAAAATATTGTTCCTAGCCAAAATTATCGCCAGTCAAATGTCAGCGCTCATGTGTAATTGTATTGCGCGAGCGATTTTCAATCGCGCGCCCTGAAAATCGAGTCTAAAAATCTATCTTCTCCTACATTTTTTGAGCAATCACCCTGAAACTTTCAGGATATGTTCTAGGGATCATTTAGAAGATATCTGTCGAGCCGAATTTTGAGATAGGCCTTAGAAGATTTTTTATTCAATTTTGAAAATCTTGGACCTGGAAAAATCGTAAAAAAATGAGGTCCAAGATTTTCAAAATTGAATAAAAAATCTTCTAAGGCCTATCTCAAAATTCGGCTAGACAGATATCTTCTAAATGATCCATAGAACATATCCTGAAAGTTTCAGGGTGATTGCTCAAAAAATGTAGGAGAAGATAGATTTGTAGACTCGATTTTCAGGGCGCGTGATTGAAAATCGCTCGCGCAATACAATTACACATAAGCGCTGACCTTTGACTGGCGATAATTTTTGCTAGGAACAATATTTTTCCATGGGACCAAAAGCAGCTGATAGATATCACTCCCCTCTATCAGAAACAACTATAAAATCAATTTCGAGAGAATTTTGATGAAGACCCCCCCGGCCCCCTTAAAGCACCCCTGCAGATTTCGTCGATTTCAGGTGCCGTCGGCAACATAAAAATTAAAAGCAAACATAAATTTTCCCCCTAAAATCGAACGCTTTCTGTGCAAAAAATTGACCTCAACAGAAAAAATTAAACATGGCTTCAAATCCAAAATTGAACCAGAGATTTTTCACTTCCTCTCGATAAACTCAATTTTCAACCAAAATAAAGTCTCAAAGGGGTAAATTACTCAGGTCAGGATTGTAGGCAATGATTATGCCAAACCATACATTTTTGTAAATTCATTAAACTTTCAATTTAGCCTAAAACACCCTATTTCGCAAAAATTTTCCGGGGGGCTGCGCCCCCCTAGCCCCCGCCAATGTGGTCCGCCCCTTACCTGGACCCCGCTGGGGGCCGCGCCCCCAGACCCCTGCCACAGCTTGCAGCTTCGCTCGCCGACAGCCCCCCCCCCCAAAGAAAAATCCTGGCTACGTGCCTGAGCAAAATATAGGTTTAGGGCTTTTCAGATGATTTGGCTCCTCAACAGATACCGACGTACATAACGGTCAATATAATATGTAGTTTAGGTTTACCTGGCCCGTAGGTTTTTTTTAAATTTTTATTTTTTTAAGAGAGGCTGGGCCTGGTTGGCCCACGAGAGGATAGCATATGGATGCTTTGCCTACCTCTGGGATATGGCTGTCCTGTGGGAGGATGCCAGTGGAATCAAGGTGTGTAATCAAGGATGATGGTAAGTGTTGTGGGGTGTGTCATAGATAAACGCTTAAGTGGTGGTTGAGTGTGGAAGAGAGGGGCGAAACAATACGGCGTTAAAGTAGTCGCTATGTTACACCTGTCTGGTCCAACTTCTCCGGCACCACTAAGCGTTTAGTGTGGTTTGTAAAGTTGACAATGGTGGAGATGTGTTGGTTGTCGAATATGTCATTGACAGAGAGGTAGTAGTCCCGGAAATGTTGACCTCTTATTTGGGCAATAGCTGGGCACTGTCCGAGAAAGTGTGAGACAGTCTCCTCTCCGTCGCCGCATTTAGGACAAGCACTTGTGTCTGATTTGTGAATGGTGTGTAGGTGTTTGTTGAGGCCACAATGTTCCGTGATGAGGTGCACTGCAGTTCTGTAATTTTGTCTGTTGTTACTGAGTGTGGTGTTGACATTTTTGATGATGTTGATGTTTTTATGTCCAAGTGTCAGTTTAGTGTGTCTGGGACCATTAGTAATCCATGATTCTTGATTAAGTTTTGTGACTTTGTCGTTGATCAGGCGTTTGATGTAAGATTGTGGAATTGGGCAATTCAAAGTGGATTCACTGGTTGTGCCATTTTTGGCCAGCTCGTCTGCTTTTTCATTACCCCACAATCCGGTGTGTGCTGCTATCCATCTGATCTCTAAGGTGTTAGTGGATCCGAGTGTATTGAGGGTGTCGTAGCAGTCTCTAGTAGTTCTACTCCTCGTTGAAGGTGAGGATATAGCTTGAATAGAGGAGAGACTGTCTGACCATATGATGATATGTGTGTTTGTGTAAGTTGATAGATATTTACAAGCTTCGATGATGGCAGTGAGTTCTGTTTGATAAACGGTGCAATAATCAGGAAGCTTGAATGATCTTTCATCTAGTGTAGTGTTGTTGTTGTCTGTGGTGATAATATAACCAGCCCCGCTACCTGAGTCTGTGCGTGACCCGTCTGTGTAGCAGGTGATGGTTTCACTGGGGATGTTGTCGATGGTGTTTTGGAGTGAGCCTCTATATTCAATGTTGTCAGCTCCAGGAGTGGTGACCGTGAAGCTTCGTTCAAGCATCATGGTTGGTATAGATAGGTCTCTCTCTGCTTTGGGTGGTATGTTGAGGTCTACCATGAATTGTTTGTTGATAGTGGTGTGAGTTGTGATGGTACCTTTTCTGGGGGCGATAGTTTCGAGGGTTAGGCTTCCATATGCTTGAAGCCTGGCTGTGCCCTTTGCTGCTTCACCTCTCAGGAAAAGTATGATATCTGGAGTGTTAGTGAGGTGGTTCAGTGCGATGAAGGGAGTACTAGGCATGGCACCAGACATCATTCTCAATGCCAATGCCTGAACTCGTTTGAACTTCCTCGCGTTGGTGTCTGTTTGGGTTGCCCTAATCCATATACTACAGCAGTATGATAGAATAGGTCTGATGACAGCGGTGTACATCCATTTGCATGTTTTAGGGCTCATACCCCAAGTGGGGCCGACAGCTCTTCTACATTGCATAAGGGATGCCGTAGCTTTTTTGGTGGTATTGGTGATATGTTCATTGAAATTGAGCTTGCTGTCGAGGGTCACTCCTGGCCCGTAGGTTACGAATGTGCCCGAGGAGGAAAAAAAAAGCAAACTTAAGAAAATTTCTCTGGAACTTAAAAGTTCACCTCAAAACGAAATCTGCACCTATGTATTAAAGTATATTAAAATGTAGGTCTTTTCCCGATTTGAGGGCGGAATATACTTTAATATGCTTAAATATGGTCAGCCCCCCCCCCCCTTATCTTGTTTCATTGCAGGGATTCATGCATGATTCACACCATCTATACTTTTTTTGTAAAATTGCAGAATTTAGCAGAAGACAAAAATGAGTACTCCGAAATTTAGCACAAATAAGAGCACGGTTTGATATCTCAGATCCAATAATTTTAACTTTTAAAAAAATCTGTGATAGTCTATTTTCCTGCACCATGTATGCATCGTTATCTTGAAACTTGAGAGCCTAGCTGGCTGGGTGGAGCCGCAGATTGGGTAAAATGCACACAATTCTTGACGTCACGCAATAATTAACAAGCTGAAGTCATTAACTTGAAAATTGCTGCTCACTGCTCAGTGCTCACTTTTCTTATATACCCTTGTATAATGTATACTTCTAGTCCATAGACTCTGGAAGAACCATTAGAAGGTCGTTATCTCATTGTATCAATGTTTGCCTTCTAGCAACCATATAATTACCGTGCTATGTTTATGTGATTGGAGAGCCGGTTATCGGCTCAACTGCATGGTCGTCTATATTTAGTTGTATTAGACAGTATACAAATGAGGACAGATAATTATAAGGTATATCAGATAACAGCATATAGAGTGCGCAGGCGACGTGCATTGCCAGATCCCAGTTGAAAAATGTTGGATTGAGTTATCCTCATATTATGCTCTACAGGGGGGTCCCTGACCCCAAACGGTGCCTGCGGGGCAGCCACGCCTATATTTGGTCCAAATTAGGCCCAATTTAGCCAAATACCCTGAACATGCCCAAAAATCGCCAATATCTCAGTTCGCGATATTAGCAAAACTGACTTCGCTCAAAACAATAGAACTCAATAGGGTATTTTCACATGAAATTTTCAGAATCAACGTAGAATTGTCTCATGACCTTAAGTTTTTGGACAGAATTTTGAGTTAGGCCTTTAAAAAAATTTGGCGGCCACTGTGCTATCTCGAAACCAAGTTTCACAAAAAAAATCAGGATGAACCCCCCCCCCCTTAACTTAGAAGGGGTGAGCGTGCTATTGCTCACACCAAACAGCAACCTAGTAAAATAACTAGTCCAAGAGAATGCAAATAAATTTACCTCAACCGCTTGATAAAGTTTCCATCCATATCCGGATCCTCCGTAAAGTCATAGACTGACAGTTCCCGCTTATGTGCCATTGTGCTAATGTGGTTTGAATTGTTAATTTAAATCATTAAGACTGCCTAATAAAAAGATGATCTCAGTATAATCAAATGTTTCAATTCTTGAATTTGGGAATATTTTTCCATGGTCATTGGTTGTAAACTATACATTGAGGACATATCAATTTTACTAAAAGATTTGCAAATATTTTTCAAAGTTACAGTTTTAACTAACTGAACAAGATACTATTAATAATTAATACTAATTCTAATTGATGTTTTGTCGACAACTACTTGTTTGAAAAACTGAGAGGAGACTCTCACTTTGTCCCAAAACATCTATTAAATGATCTCACTCAAAAGAGCGAATACTAATTCTAATATAAAGATATATACTTTTATCACCAGATTGATGCAAAATAAATTTATTCTATCCTACAAAATCCTTTCAGGTTTTTTACAAAATAAATTTCATCCTCTCCTTCATAAAAGAAAACAGCCTTCTTGCTAAACTTAGGAGACAAATACTTGATTGACCCGTCTGAATCAAAAATAGTCAGCGTCATCATACACTGTCTTTCTATTTCAGAATAAGAAGCGAACCTGGATAGTCCGTTTTTCTCGAGAAACTCTATCTCCAGTTTCTTACCAGAGTTTCTGTCCCTTCTTTGATAATTTGTGAAACGATTATTCTTCGTTTTGTTGTTGAGACCCAGTCTTTGGATCTCGTTGAACTTCTCGGCCAAAGCCAACCCTCTTGGAACAGATTGGCAAGAAGCCAATGACCGTTTCTTCTTCTTTTCGAGAGAGGCAAACTTTTTGCTTTTCGTAGTATCGAAAACGATTTTCGTAAGGGTAACCACTCCTTGCTGGTTAACCAAGTCTTCGAAATCTTTATGCATCAGATCAATTAACGACACCAATTTGGAGCTCTTTTCATATGTTAACTTGAACTTTTCGGTGACATGAGCACGCTGTAAAAACTTGCTTAATTCAAGTTCAAAGTTGTCAGCATTCAGCTTGCACGACATTGGCGAGCGTGGTTTGATATCCAAATTGGCGACTACGGCAGACTCATTGAATTGGGCGTCGGATGGTTCTTCGCAACTCTGTATTCCCTGCCTGGGAACTTGCGCAAACGCGCTTCTGTTTGTTTCCCAAATAAATGAGCCGACGCAGACGGTCTCCAAAGATGTACAAGGACAATCAACTTCTTCAGTCGAGGGCATCCCAAGAAATTCAATGGGGATGAAGGCGGTATCAATAGTCCCATCGATAAAGGCCGTATCAGAGATTGAAATCAGCGTATTGGTGACTGCTGCAAAAGGGCGACTAGACTGATTCAGTCCATGTGATTCCATGGTGACAGATCGGTCACTAATACACCATGAGGTATGATCATCAACTGACTCATCGCTACGATTCATTGGTTGGTTTTCGAAACCATTATCGAAAAGCGATTCTTCGAGATTATTGGTGGCACCTGCAGACAACATGATATCCGAATTAGATATCATACTCGAGTCACTCAGACGAATGCTCGCACTTGTTGGCCTCGAAAACAGCTCAGAATTGACTTCATGGTCGCGATGAACCTCAATTTGAAGTGGAGCCGAATCTTTGAAATTATTTTTCGATCCTCCGCAGAGGATCGAAAAAATTCGCTGAGGATCGAAAAAATTCGCCTTATCATCCCCAGTGTTTTGAGGTGACTGGGGAGCACCTTCGCCACTCTCAGAGGCTGTCGAATAGCCAGAATCCCTCCTGAAGCAAGAAAAGTTGTTTAAGGAAGTGCACAGTACACATTTCCACTAACAATGTGATGTAAGAATTGTTTGACGGTTAAACTATGATTTTATTGCAGCATAGTGAATATTTGATGTTTTTTGAGCTGTGACTCCTCCAAAATCCTCCAAACAACTAAGATCATGACATAATTCATATAATTATCAATGTAAATGTAGATTTTAGCTACCTGGATCGCTTGTCGTCAAACCGCGCCACATCGTTGTTAAAGCGTTTCATGACTACAGAAAAATTTTATTAAGTCATGTAATGACTTATTTTTGAATTGTAAGGGGGAGGCAGGATAGCAGTTTAGTATTGCCACGTAATTGATTACGAGATGGGTTACGTGCGGTCTAGCTAGGACAAAAAACTCCATCTTGTACTGCCGTCTACCTAGCACCTCAGACCATGTCACGTAACGCAATATGAGACACAGTCCTTGATCCTAGTTAGACAGTACGTAACATGTTACGCGATCGAAACATTAATGAACTTGTGAATACAAGTTGAGCTTGTACATAGTCATATCTTAGACACGACCGAAGTTTGGTTGACAAAGGAGCACTTATTTATTCAAATTGTTCAGTGAACTCAATAGGTTTGGATGTATTTGAAACAAAGTCAATTCAAAAATGGATTTAAGTGCTCCTTTATAAATCAAACTTGTGTCTAGTCTTCGACATTTTGCAAGAACTCAACATGTATGGAATAGTTCAGTATAGTGTTTAAGATAATGTAATAAGTTACATGCAGTCTGGCTAGGATTAAAGACCTGATCATGTATGTGCCGTCTAGCTAGAACAAAGACTCCATCTCGTAATGATTATGTGATGCGCTACGTGCCATCTAGCCAGAACGACGACCCCATCAAATACTCAGAAAGTGCTGTCTAGCTAGAACAAAGACGCCATCTCAAAATCGATTACGTTATAAGTCATGTCTCGATCGAGGTAATCAAGAGAATTAGCTCACAGTTCAAATTTAAAATCAAATCAGGAGATTTAATATCATAACTTGGTAAACGTCTCTGTCTTCTCATAAATTCATTTCCATCACAAAATTCATTTCTAGGCCAACTTCTCTCTGGAACGACATAGTTCCAAAATTCAAAACATCAGACTATTCTGTAAAAATAAGCTTTCTTAAAAATAACCTCAAGCAAGCTCTACTTCATAACACATTCATACCATCATATTACTGTCTCAGGTCTCTTGATACTGTCCTCCCTTGATCCACGACCCCATAGCCCAAGCTTGACACTTCCTTTCCAAAAGATTAGTTGCTGTTGGGAGACAGGAAAACGAATAATCCTGTCAACTATCAGTCCATCTGCTGTATGACTGGTATGCAAAATTCATATTTAAATTTAATTGCTTTTCTTTGTAAATATTTCCAATATCAATGTATGAAATTGATAACTTTGTATTACTGAAAACTTAGTTTTATTGAATTTGACTGGAATCGTGGGACGTGGCACATTAGTACACAAGTACATATATATATTAGTACACAAGGAAGTGACATGGAAGACTCATGTATGCCACAAGGTAAAGGTCAATTGAAGTAGCCGCATTGTCAAACCATTTGAAATTCGAACTACATGAAACTCAAAAACATTCTTCACTCTCTTATCACTCATCAAAGTATGCCCGGGTAAGTAAGGGACCTAGAATATCCCATTCATGATGGGTCCTTGTAGTGAGGTACAATAGTAAGAAGAAGGAATATGGCTTTCCCTTTGTTCTGAGATTGATTCTCTAGTTGATTCCTGTAAGGGTACCCTTCAGTACATATACATTTTACTGAAATGATATGCATGCAGCTAACTTTTTTTGTAAATATTGCACAAGTGAAGCAAATGCAATATCTATTTTTTGAATTATCCACAAGCGTAGCAAGTGTACATAAACTATCTGTAACCCATGACAACGAAATGTGTTGTTAGTACATTAATTTGCGATGAGCTAACGCGACGTAGAATCACGTGACATAGGGGGGGGGGGGACTATTTTTGACAATTTTTCAATCTGAGAATTTGACCATTTTCGCTGGGAATACTCAAAAATGTCTCAAATTTATTTTTGAATCTGGGAAATTCAGCATGGATTTCTCATTTTCTCAAAAATTGTCCACTCAAAAATCATTTTTGAATCTGAGAAATCAGCATTGATTTTTTATTTTCTCAAAAATGTCTCAAAAATTATTTTTGAATCTGAGAAATTAAGCATAGATTTCTCATTTTCTCAAAAATTTTCCACTCAAAAATCATTTTTGAATCTGAGAAATTCAGCATGGATTTCTCATTTTCTCAAAAATTGTCCACTCAAAATAGTGATATTCCAAATAATTTTTCATATCAGTGCAATGGTCCAAAAATACTCAAAATCAATTTTTGAGAATGAGTTTTTTGCCTCTCATGGGAACTTTTCTAAAAAAATTGGCATTTTCGTCGGGTCTCAAAAATACTCATGACCCCAACTATGATCCCTTAAAACAATTTCGGCCAATGTTAACATCGGACATTGTTGAAAACATGTTGAATGTTGATGACAGTCGATTTTTACCACTATTTCAATTTAATATAAAATTAATTACTGTTATTGCCTGGCAAATTAATTTGTCAAGGACAAAGTTGTCCCCCCTAAGTACTAACACACCCTGGTTTGAATTGAAATTTTCTGTCAACTTCATAATCATCACCCAGTTTTTGGAAGAGACTTTTTCGCACCTATGTAAGCTTCATAATGACAGTTTCACTACCGTAACTGTTTGTTGGAAGAGTTTATCTTGGTCTTTTTCCAGAATTGCCCTTTGTCGGATTTACATCCGTATATTCCTGGTGTGTAAACATCCACTCTTTCCTTATGTCTTTTGTAGTTGTATGTCTAATGTTTGAAGCACAGAAACTCTTAATATTTTCTATGTTTTTAATATGAAATTAAACATTTTGGTATTAATCAGTCCTACGATGTACAATTATCATTCTTTAATTCAAGTCGAAGTTTAATTATCAAACACAATAATAAAAGTATCATATCGGTACTAGTACTTATGGAAAGAATTAAAAATATGTGGATCAATGCTTTTCATAACTCACAGTGTACATGACGTGACAGCACTCCCAGCTATTGTAGAATAACTTCCACTTTTAACAGCAAAATGTAATGCAGCAAATAACACATCATTCATCATGCACAAATATGTTAAAAATGGGCTTTGTGCTTTAATGAAGAGTGCGATCACATTCCTGACTTTGTCAGATGTATCAACATAACCTTTAACAAGAAGGACAGCACAGCTCGAATGTAACACAATAAATGGAGAGTATAAAGACTTAGAGATGATGCTGGGATCTTGTCATATTTACGGTAAAAATTAGATGGTGTCATATTTCAAGTAATCACCTCATATTTGGACAACTCTCCACAAAACTGAGGAAACTCAATCAGAGAGAGAGAGAGAGAGAGAGAGTAATTACAAGAAATCAATATTAAAAGATGACATAATCTAATGAAAAATTATCTAATAAACAATAAACATCGATGGACGGAAACAATCTCCGTTCGGAGTTCACGTAAACTACAACTAGACAATAAACCAGAGCAACACACAAGAAAACAGCACACCAGAACAAATAGAACCCAGCTTATAACAGCGAACACCCTCACAAAGTCACAAGACCACTCTTCTGGCAGCTCCACCACTACGTGCTGCGTTACTGTCCTCTCAGTCGCTAACACGTGATAACATACCTCACTCCTATTAGCTACACGTGACCACCTGTTGGTAATTACTGAAATTCAATACTGTTATACAACGCAGCGTAGAGCCATTCTTCTGCGCTCTCCTCAGTATGTCATTGGCTACCGGAATGAGCTAATATTTCTATTGGTCGGTCGAGCGCCAGCAGGCGGTAACTTTCATTACTCAAGTTAGCGATGGAAGACTAATAACGTAATTACATATTGTCACGTGCGAGTGAACGCGCCTGCACGTGACAGATCAGCGTACACGTGCACGCTGTTTTGTGGCATGTGGGCGTTGCTTCCTGCACGTGATATAATACATTATAAAAGTGACGTTATTGAGACTGTACAAGAGAGCTCTAATCTTTGTATAGTGGCAGCAATGCTTGTTAGGTCTTTAGTGGTCAGAGCTTTCTGTGAGCCGACTTAAAGTAGGACTGAATAGATCATTAGAGGTATACATAATATGCTATTTGCATATTCCATACATAATAACTATTCAAGAAATGCCAAAGCTCGTGCAGTAAATGTTTAAGAGCTTTAACTAAGTGCTTAACTGGGAGCAGCGGCGTAACATGTTGGTGGCGCCACCCCCCCCCCCCGCTGGATATGCGCCCCCCTGTTGGCGCCCCACCCCTAAAATCGGATAAATTAGATGATTTTACAGGATACGCCTGTAAAATCTCTAAGAAAGTACGTTTCTAGAACAAAACACGCAGTTTTGCTAGTACCGTAGTTAAGTTTTTCAAAATTGTCCCACATTAAAACGACGATTTGGCGGGGGGGGGGGGGGGGGGCTTGTTACGCCACTGACTAGGACTACATTTGCAACAGGAACTTTACAAAATAACGCACAGTATATGAAGATATTTATTCACGCAAATTACAACAGGATAAAATAACACAAAAGGCTATACTTCTGATATTTCTGGCTCTATTCTTAAAGTGCAATACCACGGTGCACTCTAAAAATACTTATATGTGCAGACAATAGTGGTAATGAAAACGCTTAATCGAATTAAATATGCTTAATTAAATATATAGCAAAGCCACAAAGCTGACAATGTACCGATGTACGACAACGACTTCCCTGTACACACAAAGGCTTCGAGTAGAGAGCAGTAATAAAGCTGTCGTTCACCAAACTTATATACGTGCTTATCAGTTATCTCTGTAGCAGTAAATCAGACATGTATGAAATATAATGAACATGTTCTATTTAAACATGCATAAAAGACTATTGAAGTGTAACACTGTAACTAATCTACACTTACATTATCATTACCATGAGCGGGAGTATTACCATACACTCGCACTTTTCTTTATATATCAGGTGATTAAGATTTAAAACTATAGACTGAAACTGCGGATTGAGCAGCAGCAAGTCATACTCTGGTTAATCAGCTGATGATCGTCAGCTATATAGACACCATATCAAGAGGTTGCTATGGTGTCACGTGTTATTCTACGCGGTGTCACGTGTTATTCTGCGCGGTGTCACGTGACACTGACGAGATATA